ACAACAAACTGTCCTAACTGCAAAATATCAAGACCTAACAGCACTGCACTCTTTTCGCCACTCGTTGACATCTCAATGACCACTCTCTGTCCACTCAGTTCATATGATCCAGGCACAGTCACTCTTACTCATTCACGTACACTTGCCTGTGTGATCAGTACTGCACTGCACTTTGTCCTACTACCTCATTGTGCTGGTCATTAGATGACCTCAGTACTTACTTGTACGTGAGAATAAGGATGTGTATGAGTTGTGATTCTTTAGTATATTAGTCTAGTAAGTATATTAGTAAGTCTTTTCTTGACTTGAGTCTCAAGTCTTTAGTAGAGAATTTAGGTTTAGTCTCATTATTATTAGTTGCAACATTTTACAAGGATGAACCCCAACTAAAACCTGTCAGGTTCAACATGGCCTCAAAAAATGAGCTTTTTATTAAAGATGTGCTTCAATTTGAAGAAAATGAATGTTATGTTTAAATGTTGTTCTTTAAAACGTAAAGTTTCATTGGGATTAGTTGTGCTAGCTAGCTAGCTTACATGCTATATAATTTAAGCGCTACAAACATTAAAAGCGTTGTGTTTGAAGGAAAGAGGCAAATCAATCGGAACAGTTGATTAGTCTGTTCCTAAAAAAAAATTAATTAAATGGTTTATGCTGGTCTGGTGCTAGTTCTGCATCCAAAACACAACATATATGGGTTTTTCCTAGTGACCAAGCTGGTCTATGCTGGTTTTCCTAGCAGGGTTTATACAGCATGTAAGCTATAAACTAAGCAAAACTACAGAGAGGGGAGAACTAAAGCACTTCATGAAGTGTTTAAAGGAAAGATGTTGGTAGTCTGTAATTTATATAGCACGTAAGATAGCTAGCTAGCGCAATAACTAATCCAGCTGAAGTTTTAGCACGTTTTAAAGGAACATGATCTAACTTAAACTTGAGCTAGAGTCCTAATAGGAAAGTCTTCACTTGGCGGCCATCTTGGCAACATCACTGGGCAGTTATTTCAAGCAATGCAAGACCAGGCTCCTATCTCTTTGAATGGGGAGAGACCAAAATACTCAAAACTGAAGGCCAAATTACTGTTTCAAAACACATTTGAAATCACTGATAAAATCAGACAAAACCTCATGAATAGTTTGAAGCGTTTGGCTCAGTAACACAGAAAAAACATGATTTTTCTGGTTGCCCTGATAGCAAGAGGATAGTGGGCCACTGTTGGCCCGCTGATGGCAAAGCTGGTGGTCCATTGACGTTTTGCTGTGCGTTTTCTGGACGGCCCACTGGTGGTTAAGCAGAGAATTAGACAAAATACCACTGATCATCGCTCATTTTCCACTCACAGTTCAATTTACTGATTTTTCCTTCCTTCTTTTCTTTAGTTATACTTTGTAAATTAGTTTGGTAAATAATTTTAATCAGCAACATTTTTTCTATGAAATAATTTTTTATCAGGCCTAGTCATTTTTTTTTTCTTTCAGTTGTTTGTATTACTTGTCTTAGTTTATTTTCTAAAATAAAAGTCTCTGTGCATGGAAAATCTGTTGGAGAAGAATAAAAACTAGTTAGAGCTTGTATGCAGGACAGTAATCAGCGGGCTGCCGACCTTATCAAGCCAGCGGACCGATATATGCTCGCTGTCTGGGTGTTGTGGCTACTACTGCTAATGCTACTACTGCTACTACTGCTACTTCTCCACAATGAGGGGGACTTTCCCTGCTAGCGCCACAACATTGTTAGTTAGCTAGCTTACACGCAATATAAACTACAGGCTAACCAATATCTTTCCTTAAAACGCTGCATTTGCTGAATGTAGCACTTCAGTTGTGTCCGTTCTGCAGTTGATATAGTAAGCTAGCACAGTAATCAATCTTGCTAACGTTTTCGTCTTTTGGCAAAGTATTATTTTTTTCAGATATACCACTATTTTACCATCATCTATATGACAAATAAACCCTCAGAAGTCTTGTGTATTTTCACCGCTGGTTTTGGACAGTAAATAAAATGGCTCTATTTGTGTTGTAGACATGGCGGCGCCTGGTTTCTATCAGCACCACTGTGAACAGTTTCTCTACAGTGTACTATTTCGCATCAAACCACTCTGGATGACTGTTAGCATTTCAGTGACTGAACTATTTAGCCTTATGATGGGAACATTAAACTGTAGAAGCCTGAATGGTTAAAGTTGAATGGTTGGTAATGTATTCAGTATTATGGGGTCAATCTCACACTCGGATCATATACTGAGTTTAAATTATGAGTCTTCAGAGAATTTAAATGTTCCAATGAGTATCACTGAACATTAGTTCAGGTCAGAAGTCACCTCAGGTAGGTCAGCTGTGACGTCACTGAGAACACTGTAATCGAACGATGCAGTGATTGTACTGATAACGCTATCAGGCTGATGGAGATCATATAACGAATCGGTACACACTATCTAAGTATTACGAAACTATCAGTGTGTAATCTGGATGAATTATAAACCAGATGGAAAAAAATCACATCCTGTTAGCCTAATTCTGATGGCTTCATACGTAAATTTAGTGTAGTTGTACTATTTTACAAAACTGAGAGACCACCCTTCATTTATTTGTTTTTTTTTTCAAGGTTTTCCAGTGTCAGATAAAAAGCTGAAAACATATCTAACAGAAAATGACACAAATATAATGTTCAATTTGTTTGGCATTTAATGTGTCCTCGCTTTACCTTTATTACAGCTTCCATTCTGTTCAGGAGACTCACTTTCAGTTTCTCAAAGAAATCTGCAGCCACACCTCCAAAGTTCAGTCTTAGAAGTTGGTTTAGCATTTTCTACTTCTCATAATCCAAGTACAAATTTAAACTTGTCGGTCCAAAAAAGGTCACTCTACATCTCCAGATGTCCAGTTGTAGTGTCTGAGTGGAAATGTTTTTCTTTATTGTTTCCTTTTCTAAGTGAGGCTTCTTGACAGCTACACATCCTTTCAGACCCATAGCGCTGAGTTGTCTTCTCACAGTGGAATGATAGATTGTTTCAGCTTGACTTTCTCCTCTCTCTCAAAGAAGAAAGCTTTAAGTGCTGTTTATCTGATGGGGACAGTGTTTGTGTCTACTAGGACTTCCGGGTGGTTGTCAGGAGTCTCATTTTCTCTGTAGCTTTTAATCATTTTGTTGTTTCACTTCATTTTTATTTGACTTTCTCCTTACTTATACATGTGGACTATCTTATATACAATGTCTGCTGAAATATCTCCTAAATATATAAGTAAAATCAGTAAAAATCCAAAATCGAAGTAAACTTAAAATGTTTGCTTACTTTACAGAGACACAGGACTATAAACGTGAAATAGAAGAACTTTTGACTAAACAAAGTTTGAGTCAGCCCAACTAAAAAAAGCTGTGCAAAAAAGATGTGGTACAATTATTACTGTAATAAATAAATATGGTCAGGTATATGAATATAATGTATATGAAACTCAGACTATATTAGTGCATAAGCGTTCGCCTGCGGTGACGTCTGCATTCATTACTGCAGCTCCTCTCTGGATCTTTAATAGTGAGAACCTCACTACAACATTTCTTGTCTTTCATTGGCTGTACTCTTGCAGCGCGAGGCTCCTGCAGCGATAGCAGAAGTGTGTGCGTTTCAATGTGTCAGTGTTCACTGTGTAGGAGCGCGAGCGTGCGCGTGTGTGTGTGTGTGCGCGCACTCCGCCCAGCTCCGTGGAAAAGTGTGTCACTGGGTTAAAGTGAGCGAGGCGCGGGGTGGAGGGTGGAGGGTGCAGGGGGAGTGGCGACTTCAGCAAGAACATTCAGTTCCCAACAGCAGCCACCGCACTCGCTAACACACACACACTCACTCACTCGCTGGAGAGAGACAGAGAAGCAGATACACAGTGTTGTTCTGTTGTGCACACTGGGATTCTTACCTCTTCATGCTTTTTTGAGCTTTATCGTGCGAAGTTGGGAACTTCAGGACACATCCAGGCATCATCGGAGCGACATGGTGATCTGTGTCCACTCTGAGTCGAAGGACTTCGCTTGAAACTAACTAATGCTCTTCTGAACGTGGCTGTTGTGCAGCCTCACTGGTCCGAGCTCCTACTGATATCTGTGCTAAAGCTGATCTACTGACAGACAGAAGACATGGCATCAACCAAGCCAGGTGAGCCCCCTGCCTGCTGCTTTAACACCGTACATTATTAGAGACTGAAGGCTGTTCAGAGCTGGTTTCACTGTCGGCTCTGAAGGCGCTCTGTACTGTGTGTCAGTCTTCAGGCTGCTATTCTGCTATTATCGTTTTTCAGCCAAGTCTTTGTGGGTTAGGAGTGTGTGTCTGTTTGTGTGTGTGTGTGTGCGTGCGCGCGCGCGCGCCTGTGTTCCTACTCCTCGCCCTCACATGGCCCGGCCGCCCGAGCCATGTGCCTGTGTGTACTCTCCGCCGCTCCTGATTGGTCGAGCCGCGCCGATGACGCGCTCATTGCATAATTTCATGCAGCGGCGCTGCAGCACCACGTGAGGAGCGAAGTGACCCACATACAGTCACACAGGGGGGACTGCAATACACCCTCAGCCCTTTAAACACCCTCAGCTGGTCTGCCCAGTTTAACATGGGTATATAATGGCCTAACGATCCAGATAAATATAAAAGATAATGATCTCTGATATTTTTAAAGTGTAGTTTGTAGTGCAGATTTGACAGTAGCCTAAATGACACATGTATCATATCTAAATGACAGAGATATTATCAATCACATCAGTAATGTCAGCACCATTTTTTGCCTTTTAAATGAACTAGTTTAACAAGTGTATTTATATGTATATACATACATATATCGCTGCTGTCGGAAGAAAACCTTGCATCCCAATTTTTGTTGTTTTACAGTTTTTGACATAAACTGAAAATGCATGTTGTCCTTTACATTGTCTGTAACGTTTGTGATGACTGGACCAAAAGAAACGTCCCAAAATGACTTGGAAAGACGTCTGGTTCCATTGACTTACATTAGAAATAGTTTTTTTTTTCCTTCTCCTGTAAAGCTACCATTTTGGAGATTACAAGGTTTTCTTCAGACTACATTTGCCTTGAATTCAGGGTATGAGTTTTGTTGTTTATAAATCTGTAGCTTTTGTGGTCATTTAAGGATTTTAGGATCTTCTACATGATCTGATCTGTTCATTACTCTGGACGCCTATACTATATATATTGTTTACAGCTTCATAATGTCTACTAATGATTTGAAAGTTGTGAAGCCACACAGTTGAGTCTGCTGAGCCTGTAGCTCTTCTTGCTGTCTTATAAACATCCTGCTGTAGTGTCTAATCCATATGACTTCAAAATGTGGAGCTCACACATTCAGAAAAATCGACTACTCTGTGTTTTCCTCCTCAGATGAATCAACTGTTTGGTTGGCACTGTGTGAATAAGGGTTCAGGTATTCCTGGAACTGTTAAAGTGCTCCCTCGAGGTGCCATAAATGAACTCACTGAACCGGCTGGTGTTGTCAGACAACTTGTTTGGCCAGTGGGGGCTGCAGTCATATGTGGGGCATGGAGCCCACCCTTTGAAATAAGATTATGTAACAATGTTATCCAACTTGTGAATGGGACTTAATAAAGCAAAGCAAAGCCAGCGATGAAAGCTCCTCTCAGGCCGAATGTAGGACACAGTTGGATGGACGCGGCCTCTAAATTTCAAAAGAAAACTTTTTTGCTTGCTTACTCACTGAATGGAATGGAAGGGGTGGTCTGTTAGAAACAGCCCTGCTTTGGGATCTAATGTGGAGCGGAAGTTTTACTGATGAATCATCTCCACTTTAGTTCTTTTGCTGTGTTTATATTAACCAGTAAGTTGCAGCCTGTTCCAAACATAATGGGGTCAGCCTGATAAGATGAACGTCACTGTTTTAGGAAAACTTTTTTTTTTACTTTTTTTTTTTTTAACACAATCTGTTTATTTTAGGTTGCGTCAACAGCATTTCTGAATTTTGGTTGAGAGCAAAGTCATTCCGAGTGGTTTGGTGTGAAATGGTTGATTGTAGAGACTCTTGCTTTAGAGCAGTGGTGATAGGAACCAGGGGTCGCCATGACGACGACACAAAAATAGACATTTTATTTACTATCCAAAACCACCAGGGAACCTACTGAGTTTTTAAATGGAATTTTGATGATGGAAAATTAGGGATACTGTTTTTTGGGGGGACTATTTCGCCTTACAACATCCTGAATGTACCCCTCCGCCATTAAAAAACATGGTTTATGCCAAAAACGTCCTGAAAACTATTGTAAAACATTGTGTCAGGCGTCAGACAGTGTATGTGTAACCATTTCTTGTAAAAACTTACTGTGAGGGAGCTTTTAGAGGTGGACGTCTGGTTCATATCAACACCACTGTGAACTTCTGCCTCGTTAAGTTTCTCCAGAACAGCGTTTCACACCAAGCCACTCTGAATGACCTTCTTTATGTCTAAATTCAGAAATTCTGCAGAAATTTAGAAATTTGGACGGGATTCCCCTTTAAAGCATACGCTAACAGCTATAAATGTAATATGTAAGGTATCTCATTTGAAAGATAGTTTCCCATCTTCTAATAAGTTTAATATAGCAAATAATAAGAAACTAAGTAAATGAAAGGGGGGGTCTCTGACCTTTGCACAGTCCTTTCTGTTAGCGAGGAAACTGTGCTGATGTTCTGTCGAGTATTTTGTTTACACTTTTTTAAAGTCCTCTGTTCTTTTTTTTCATAGCTGGAGTGATCGCCTACATCTGCTCCTCAGGCTCCGCCCCCAGCCCTGAGTCCAGTCTGAGTGACAGCTCCAGCAGCAACTCGCCGTCAGCGTCTCCGCCCCCGTCCGCCGTCCAGGGCCGCAAGGTGGAGCTGACCGCCGCCGGCCCTCTCACCGTGCCAAAACACGCCCATTCCCGCCTGAATAGGAACACTCCGTCCTCTGCCAAGAGTGGCATCACGAGTACGTTTGTTTTTCCTTCTATTAACTGACCCTGGCCCAGTTTCCTAGAAACATCGTCCAGCTGAGATCATTTCCACCATTAGAGAGAGAGTGTTGAAAATGATGCTCGCACGACCATCTCACTGTGTTCTCTGTGGTCTAGTAATTTTGTACAGACTCACTGCTACTAGAAAGCAAAGTGGTCTTATAAACTGTCTGTGTTTGCAGAGCTGAATGGGATGGTGCTGCTGTGTAAAGTGTGTGGAGACGTGGCCTCAGGCTTTCATTACGGCGTACATGCTTGTGAAGGGTGCAAGGTAAGGACATAGTGTGGCTCTGGATTTTATTTCAAAGGGTCTTGGACGTGGCTCCAGGCTTTTGTTCCTGCCAAAGAGTAGCAAGAATGGAGAAATACCTATCAAACATTAAAGAACTGAGTCACAGGCCTAATGCTACTGAAGTCTGTGGGAACATCTGGTTCAGTCATGTCTTATAATTTAATGCTCTGTAAAAAAAAAACAAAAAAAAAACAAGCATTTTATTTATACACATTTGGTGATCTTCGTCTTTTCCAGGGCTTTTTCCGAAGAAGTATCCAGCAGAATATCCAGTATAAGAAGTGCATGAAGATGGAGAACTGCACCATTGTGCGCATAAACCGGAACCGCTGCCAGCAGTGCCGATTCAAGAAGTGCTTATCGGTGGGGATGTCCCGAGACGGTGAGCTTATTTCAGCTACATATATATATATATTAAATTATTTTTTTTTCTCTTTTTTCACTGCTGTCAGAACAAAACCTCGTATCTCCATTTTTGTCATTTTTCAGTTTTTAACATAATTTGAAAACGAAATTTCATGATAAATAAATGTAGAGAAAATCAAACAAAGAAGCTGCTGGTGTTCACACAGCAATGAACTGACTATCCTAGTGTCCGGACCTCAACATCACTGAATGTGTTTGGATTATGAGAAACAGAAAATGTGAAAATGCAACCAACTTCTAAGACTGAACTTGTCTTATGGCTGCAGATGTCTTTAAAAAAATAAAAGTAGGTTCTCCTGAAGAGAATGGAAGCTATAATAAATGACAAAGTCTGGACACATAAAAAGCAGTATAATATTTATTTGTAGAGGTTTCTATTAAATGTTTTCTATTTCTGTCTCCGAAAAATGAACAACTTGTACTTAATGGCTGTTTGTCTGGAAATTAAATATTATAGATAGATGCATGATTAATACTTAGATTATCAAAGGAGACACTGTTACTGCTAACATAGCATAAAGCTTAAGCTTTCATTGTTGGTGGAATAAAGGGCCTACATCATCATTAGGTCTCCTATTACAGTATCAGTGGTAAAAGTTTTGGAACTTAATGCTGTGTAACGTTCAGTCTATACACTGCATTCATTCCGACTAATTGCACTACATGGCAGGAAGTGTAGGGGGCGCTATGACTACTGCACCACAATGAAAAAATCATTTGCCACAAAGATGAAGCTTTGAATGATGAGGAAAAGGCGATGAGGCCATTAGAGTTGTACTAGTTGACTATTCGAATAGTAGTTAAAAGGTTCATCATTGAATTGATAATAATAGGATAACCTTGTTTTCTGCTCTGCAGCCGTGCGGTTTGGCCGCATCCCGAAACGGGAGAAGCAGCGGATGCTGCTGGAGATGCAGAACGCTATGAACAACATGATGAACGGCGGCCAGCTGCACCACATGCTTCAGGACTGCAGCTCTTCCTCTTCCTCATCTTCCTCCTCGCCACCCTCATCGCCACAGTGCCCCCAGGACTCTGAGTCGGTGATTGCCATGGAGACGTCCATGAGCTCAGCCTCGTCCTGTTCGTCAGACAGCGGGGAGGAGGATGCGCTGGTCTCGGGGCCAGCAGGGGGAGCCCTCTCGCCTCCCGTGGGTGAGAGGCTGAGTGAAAACAGCACAGACGGACAGCGACAGTGGAACAGCGACAGTAACATAACCGACAACCGCGAGTCTCCCTGTGAGAACAGCCAGCAAATCACCACTGGGTACCATGCAGCTCAGCAGTGCAGCAGCACCCCTAGTGGTGCCCACATGGTCAACGCCACTTACTGCCACTACAGCAGGCATAATATGAACGAGCTTGCTGGAAGAGGGGGGAACCGAGGACATCTGGTGAGTGCAGCTTTGTGTTTACTGACAATAAAAAAAACATAAAATGAAATATAATGCAGGTTTATGCATTTATACTTTCAGCAGGTGGATGTTTTCTGAAATCATTGTGTTGGAGAAAAAAAAAGGGGAAAAATGAATACTAATGTAATAATTTGAATAAATAAGTAATGTTATAAATAATATATGAGTAAATATGGTCTAAACCTGGATTACAAAGGGTCAGTCAGATATGATTGCTGTTTTTTTCACTTTATGATTAGCTGTGAGATACATAAAATTGTCATAACCATGACGTAACCATGTCCTGGCAGAAGTCATATGCTGTCATTAAAGAGTATGTCCAGTAATATAACAGTCATATTAAAATTACAGTTAATTGTCACCAGTTTGACTTCTAACTAGAGTATACAGCATGTGACATAACCTGTCATGACATTAAACATTATGACATCTGTCGGTAACAGTAACAGGACACTGTTATATAACTGAAGAAAATTTGTCATGACAACACTGACTGTGTCGGACATCTAATTTGACACCTTTATGGCATGGTTATGTCAACGCTATGTAGGATACAGTAGTGGATAACACCATCATCCTGCACATGGCAAGGAATGGCAATGCTGATTGTAGGAGTATCATCACCTTGGTAACGCGTATGTGGCTGCATGCTGCTGTCGGTTGCTGATTACACCGATTCTTCTACAAGACACAGAATGATGTGTTGACAACTCCACCATTTAAACACAGCATTAGTCAAAGTGAAAACTTCTGCTTATGACCTGATTATACTTAACATTGACTGTCATATTGATGCTGAGTGTCTTCCAGAATTATAGCACTGATTATATCTCTATTCTTCAGGTGTGTCCAATGAACACTTCTCCCTTAGTGGACCCTTCGAAGCCCAGTCATGAAATCTGGGAGGAGTTCTCTCTGAGTTTCACCCCTGCAGTGAGAGAAGTAGTGGAGTTCGCTCGGCAGATTCCAGGCTTCCAGGAACTTTCCCAGCACGACCAGGTCAGCCTGCTGAAGGCAGGAACATTCGAGGTAAGCACCACGCCTTAAACTTCCACCACAGGTCTACAAACATGAGAGCGACACCGGCTCAATATGAGTCAAGTTAAGGACAGGTCAGATACGAGCCAAGCAGAGGTGGACAGAGGAGCCTAAACCCATGATTAAGAAACTTTTTTTAGACCCCATTCTTCTCTTTCTGGATGATTTGGCCCTAAAATAAAACACTAAATCTCTAAAGTGGTTGCAAAGCAGTTCAGGAGCTGAACCAATATGACAACAAGAAAATAAACAACAAAAAAGGAAGTAAAAACTTACTTTCCGCCTAAATATACTTAAGTAGACTTGAAAATATCATAATTACAATATACTTAGGAAAGTACAAATCTATCTAAAATCAGCTAAATCTTTTTGAACTGAGGAAAGGTGACTGTTTGTTTGATCTGAATTTGATGAAAAGCTGTGCAGAAAGAAAACCAAACCAAAAAAAGTAAAAAATGTACAATTAAACCTGTCAATACAGAAGACAAGCATGAATCAATATGTAGCTTTGTGTTTACATTTAAATTGTCCACCAAGACGATATTAACTATGGACGAAAGAAGCACTCATAGCACAACATAGTGACCTTGTTTTCCATGTTTCCACATATTACTGTAAGTCCTGTTTTCCCTAAGCAGCCTGTCTTCTTTCTGTGTGCAGGTGCTGATGGTCCGTTTCGCCTCCCTGTTCAACGTGAAGGAGCGTACGGTGACGTTCCTGAGTGGGCGGAGGTACAGTGTGGAGATGCTGCGCGCGATGGGAGCCGGAGAGCTGCTCACCTCCATGTTCGACTTCAGCGAGAAGCTCATGGCCCTCCAGCTCAGCCCGGAGGAGACCAGCCTCTTCACAGCTGTGGTGCTCGTGTCTGCCGGTAAGACCATCTCACTGAGCTTTGGGTGACATGTTTGGTGTCAGACGTTTGCTTCAGTAGTTTTGCACTGGAGTTCTGATGCTAATGTAGCTAACAAGCAATGGAAATTTACTTGAATATCATGTAAACTGGACAAGTGGACAAAAGCATGGAGGTTTCATAGTAGCTGCTGCTGCTGTTTTTAGCTCTGCAGTGTACATTTCTAAAGCTAACAGTATGTCATACAGTGTCAGAAACCACATTAAAAAGTCTGTTTGAGGTTGCTTAACAACACAGTTTGAGGCAAGAGCTTTAGGCATACAGTTCGCATGGTGCTAATTGGTGCACATAAGCTTCATTAGCCTCACAGCTCCACTGCAAAACTACGGGGAAAATTTTAGGTGCGAGGCCAACATTTTCTCCTGTCGCAACTGTTCAACTGTCGAAATCTTGTGCATTATTTTATGCATTATTTCTTTTCTACAATTCTTTCACTTGTGTGCAAATGCTTTTAAATGAAATCTGACAGTCTGCAAAATAGTATTAAATTTGGACGTTTATGCTGTGCTACATTTTTTGGAAACCAACTCTCAACTCCTTTCTTTCACTGTAAAAAGTGAAGAATTTTGAGGTTTGAATTGATATAAAATATTGCTTTTGTTTTCCTTTGTATTGTTTTTTTTCCCAAAGAAATAATAAAAACCAGGTGAATTTGTCATTTTTAGAGGCAAATCACTTAATGGGACCAGCTTGTAATTTACTCACTCATGTTTAGCAGGTTGAACATTCTCCACATGGGGGCACCCAATAACTGTCAAATTTCATGCTTCATAAGTGTCCTTGTTTTAGGTAGAACTGACTAATTTCTTTTACGTTTATTGTATTGCTCACTGGTTTTCCGTTTGCCGTTTCCAGACCGGACGGGTATCGAGGACGTGAGCTCTGTGGAGGCCCTGCAGGAGAATCTGATCAGGGCCTTGAGGAACCTCATCATGAGGAACCACTCGAACGAGTCGGCCATCTTCACCAAGCTGCTCCTGAAGCTTCCTGAGCTGCGCTCCCTCAACAACATGCACTCCGAGGAGCTCCTAGCCTTCAAGGTCCACCCGTAACCCGGGACCAACCTCCTCTCCCTCCTCCCTCGGACCAAATCCGGGTTTTACATTTCTGTCCTGAATGTATTTATCACAAGCTTTCTAGGGTTCCAAGCACCAAAGGTGCTAAACTTTTTTTTATTTTAAAGGCTTTAGGAACAGTGTTGGAAAATGCTGTATTTTTGTGTGTGTACAAATATATAATATATAATATATAATATATAAAGTTTGTTTGAATCATTGCACTTATTTGGGTTAGCGGTATTGGCGATGTACATGGTAAAGATGTGTCACTGTTAAAAGGACGTTAAGACACTGAACTCAATCAAGACGGTGCAGAACCACTGCTGTTATCTTACCAAGTGTATTGACTCGCGAGCATATTGGCAATGGCCAAAGCTGTTATGCTTGCTTTTATGCACTACTCGTTACGCTAATGAGGAAGAGACAAAACAGTATCAAAGTTTTTTTGAAATGTGCAATAGGTGCTAATGCATGGTTATGTGTAGTAGAGTAGCTCGATGTGGTCGATCTTGTCCGGAATAGCGAGTTCCTGTTTGCTTGTTTGTTTGTTTTCTTCGCATCCTTTAGAATACCACACCTTCAAATGTCGTGTTTTTTGTGTATACTGTGTTTTCTTTTTTTATTACTGTATTCATGAATGTATGACAGCTAGCAGCCACGATTGTACATTTGCATTGCTTTGGCTTTGTATTTTGGATGCGCTGCTTTTTGCACATGGTAACGTGGAACAGGACGGAAGCACAACTTTACAGTAAGACATATCCTAAAAGTCTATGCATAACTCTGACACCACAGCGGTATGACGCAGACTTATGCGCGTTGGTCTGTTGAACGGAGTCACGGTGACTGAAAAAAGCATGGATTCAGTAGTTGGTGCAACGTTGCTATGCTTCCTGACCGGCGTCTGTCTTCTATCACCGGAAGTTTGTCATACCAAGCGTGAACATGCATTATGCAAAGACAAGGAATTATATTTATAACTCTACTGGAAGCAAAGGAAGACTCATACGGATGGCCTTACGACCGTATCTGTCACTGGGGACATGTTATTGAGACTTTTTTATGATTATGTTTAGTCAGAACATTGAGAGAGGGGGTTTTCCAGAGACTCTTTGACTCCGACTCCTCCGCTCTTCATCATTCTATGCATAAGGAAGCAGCTCGACGGTGTGGAACTTTCCACACTTATACCATAGTTACAGATGTAATGTCATATTCCGTATTTGTCCACATCTGGTTTGTTGTGTACATCTATTTCGGATATCTATGTATAGTATATGAATAAATATCTATTAGTCAAATGTTTCAGTGTCTGCTTTTCTCATTTCATTGACTGCAGTTGAAGGGACAGCGCTCTAACTTCAGTTAGTGAAGATGTGTGCACTGAATGCAATATTGAATCATTGAATCTGATGGCATCATTAGGCCTGTCCCAGGTTATGCTCTAAGCCCTGCGGTCCTCTTACAAGTCCACGCTTTGGTGGCATCAGCAACGTTTGACCATAAGGGCAAGAGAACTTGAGAGTGCTGAGTTTAAAAGCGTGCATTTGGGACCACCAAAGTTTGCAAGACCCTAGAGCCTGTATGTGAAATAATATGCTTGGGTTTTTTATGGACTAACCAGAAGTACAATTTTCAAACAGCTACCTTTTAACTTTTTTCCTATGGTAATGAATGGCAGAACATTTAAAAAATTCAAATCTGGCTGCCACAATTGATATCTTTCACACTGACCACCTGAAACACTATATCAACCACCCAGTAACAGTCTAGCAACCACCTGGAACACTATAGCAGTCTCCTAGCAACACCCTAGCAATCACCTAGGGGCAGTCGTGGGCTGGAGGTTAGGGAACCAGTCTTGTGACCGGAAGGTCGCCGGTTCGATCCACTCTGCTGACAGTACGTGACTGAGGTGCCCTTAAGCAGGGCACCTAACCCCCAACTGCTCCCTGGGTGCTGTGTATAGGGCTGCCCACCGCTCCGGGCAAGTGTGCTCACTGCCCCCTAGTGTGTGTGTGTTCACTAGTGTGTATGTGGTGTTTCACTGCATGGATGGGTTAAATGCGGAGGTCTAATTCCGATGTGTTCAGACACAGTTGGCTAAAAAAGGTTCATTTCATTTCATTCATTTTAGATCACCATATCAACAACCTAGCAACCACCTGAGACTTCAAAGTGTTCAGCATTTAAATCCTAACAACAAAACTAACCCAGTAAACTTAAAAAAACCCCATGAACTTAAAAAAAGACACGCTGAAATTTTCTCACAGGGTCAACAGCCACTATTTTAAACTAAGCCCAATTATGTCATCAACATTAATCAACTACTTCATCCTCTCATGTTGGACTGAGGGCAGACTCAATGCTACAGTGACCTCTTGAGGTACAAAGTGGTAATACGAGACGTATGCAACACGATAGACGTCTTTGGCATAGCGCCAAAACTCTTATTTATTCACCTTCTGTTGATCATTTTAGTTAATATTGGAATGTTTTGAAGTTTTTTTTTACATTTTTTTACAAATTGCACCTCTAAAGAAGTGGAATCAGGTGTGATTCTGCTTGTTTGGAGTCAAAACCTGCAGCCACACCAGCCTTTTGTGGGTAAGACTGCTGACCCATGACCTACAGCCTTGTGAGCACATGTAGTTTTGGACTGCAGGACAGTAAGTGTGGCAGTTTGGATAGCAAAGCTTCACTTTGTATGTGTTGCGCTGGTGTGAGCGGATCAGACACAGCAGTGCTGCTGGAGTTTTTAAACACCTCAGTGTCACTGCTGGACTGAAAATTGTCCACCAACCAAAAATATCCAGCCAACAGCGTCCTGTGACCACTGATGAAGGACTAGAGGATGACCAACACAAACTGTGCAGCAACAGATGAGCCATCGTCTCTGACTTTACATCTGCAAGGTGGACCAACAGGGTAGGAGTTTCTAATAGAGTGGACGGTGAGTGGACACAGTGTTTAAAAACATGAAAGAAATCACAGCATGACTGCCACTGTTTGAACTTGAATTGACAGAAGAAAAATCTTTGCCTTACTTTGCTTCAGTATTTATTCACAGTAGCATGTTCAGTAGTACAGGAACAGATTGCACTCCTATAAGTAGCTTTTGCTGTACATTAAAGTGTTGAAGATAAAGTGCATTGGTCAGCCTGAGATTTGAAGTGAAACTCACTCAAAGATAAAAGATTCTTCTAAAGAACATTGTCAAAAAAATGCATCACAAACCATCTACAGCCCTCAATTCTTCCGAGTAAAAGTTTTAAGGCTCTGCTAACATACAATTAAAACCACAATCACCTGAAACTATGACCACGAGATCTGTGGGCAGGACTTTGTCCATTCACAGAGGACTAAACACTGCAAACTGGTGAGCTAGCTTCATTTTACTATTAAAGACCAAGAGCTGTCTGTGCTAGCTGTGTGCAGTTAGCATGTAAACAGTGCAGGTAGACAAAACTTGTGTCTGAACTGAGCAGCCAAGATGTCAACAATGGAGTAAAATGAAGGTGAAGAACAGTTCACCTGAAAATGTGCTTAAAAACAAGATATTTTCACTTTACCGTGAACAGAGGTCTGAGCCTATACTTTACCCAGGCAGTTCTGGACCGTTTCAGGCTTTCCTACATGAGTATCGGTTGACTACCGGGCAGATATTAAGCATGTGGGCCAGAATAGGGCCAGATGCTGGACAGCTTCATACAGTTTTGACTAGTGTTTATATTTGTGGGCCAGTTCTAGCATGAATGTTGTGGACCAACAATGTAGTTAGGCCAGATTTTGGCCAGATTCGGGCCACATCCATTACTTCTACTCACTTTACAGTGTGTGTGTCAGATCTGGCCCGAGGAACCAGTCATATACTGGGCCAGAACAAAGTCAAAGATGTGGCCCATAAGTGGACCAGACCAGTTTTGCTAACTGGGTAACGGTGGGAAAAGTTTACAGTGTCCTTGACAGCTGCTATCTGTTATCACACTCTGTAGTAACCAGTTGGTAAGTTTTGTCCTATGTACATTTATTTTCCCACTGGAGCCACCAGCTTATTCAGATGTGGTAATTGCTTTGCCAGTTTTAGGCTACAGTTTGAGTAGCTGTTGTTAATTAACAGTGTTAAATAGTAGAACTACTTCATCCAACTTCATTCAATGTGCAGGACTGTTAGCCGCTTTAGCATGAATGTAGCAATGATCATATTTCGACAGCTAAAAGGCCTCAGAACTGATCATCTTTGTGCACAGGACAAAACTTTCTTTCTTTCTTTCTTTTTAACCACATTGGACAATATTGTTTTTTTCTATTCTTTTTTTTTACAACCTTCATTTTCACAACTTCAGCGGGCTATGGGAAAAATTAATGGTGTTTTTCAAAAATCGCTGCTATTTGGTGAATGAAAATGTTCTAAAGCTGTTGTTTTGTTCTCCGAAATTTTTTTCTCTACGACTGGATCATCTGAATTATGAGGTCATTAATTTGCCAAAACACGAATGTTACTGAATACAAGCTAAAAATGCTGCACACTGAATTGACATAAGACTGGCAACCTCGCACAAACCAGCAAGCTTTGCTAAATGGCAGTTTTAGCCTACAGTCTGAGTAGCTGTTGTTATAAAAGGTTCTTTCTTTCATGCAGCTTTACTTAGTTTCTGCTTGTTTTAGCACAGATGTAGCATCATTCATATTTCGACTGCTAAATGGCATCTTGATTCAAGGATTCAGTGACCTTCAGGGGGATAATGGGTGTAGGACATAACAAACTGGCTTTAGGATATTTTTTGTTGACCACAGAGCTCGACAGCATCGTTTATTGAGAATGCCATTAATTTTCCCTGCAAAGAAAAATAGCTTAGACCCTGAGCTCTTTATACGAGTTAGATGGCAACTACAGCATGATGCCTATGAGAAAAATGTTAGTTTTTTTTTTTTAGTTAATTTTTAAGTCGTATGTTTTCTGTCCTATGTTTTGTCCTGTGTACATTTTGCTCAGAAGACCACTAAATTATTAGGTCATTAAGTTGCCAAAACAATGTTTCTACATGCAGGCTGGCACTCCTGCACATTAGACTGACATGATAAGACTGGCAACCTCACCAAACCTTTTGGCTTTGGAACATTTTGCCACTCCAAAAAACAGCTTAGACCCAGAGTTATTTATATGGGCATGTTGCCCATAAAATAAACTACCTTCAGATGTCTACAGGTCATATTCAGTGAATGAACTCAATACTTTTTCAGGACAAAGAAGCCATGGCTTTTGACTGTGAATGAGAAAAGTAATTGTTCTTTTGCTTCTGCATATTCAGTGTTGCAGGCCGTTGCATCACAGCACTTTGTAGGTGTCCCAGCAGGCGTAACACATGAAGTCATGGGCTAGCAGCTCTGCTCTTTCCTGTTCTTGTCTCTGATTCACTCCTGCAAGCCATTAAGATGGTGAATCAACAGAGTGATGAGAGAAATATTAACATAGACTTCTTTCAAAACACCCTTTCCAATGATTACCTGGACAAAGCTGTGCTGTAGTAACTGCTTTGCTCCAGAACTTCCTCAATCATGGCCTGAGAAGAAGAAAGAACATACAGAGGAACAGCAGCAGAACTAAAAGCAGTGATCCAGGACACGAGAAGCATTAGCTTTCTTACTGACCTGTATCTGCTCATAGGTGATGCCCTCTGGAAGACTAGAATAACCTGGTTCCCCTGAGAAAAAAGAGAAACATATTTTCTGTGCCACTAGGGGCGGAATACAGCAAAAAAAAGACAATTTTCTGGTACACAATATGTTCACGTATCATGTATTGCAAAAAATAAACTATTTAAAAAAGAAGAGAACAACTGGTCTAAATCTCCTTTTTGTCCAAACTTTTTTGGATCGAAAAAAATTGAAAATTTTGATATTTAGTTTAGAGTCAATCTCATTGTGCACATCACTTTATTCAATAATTTATAGCTCTTTTGGACTCGTGGCACTGCTATTTTTAGTTTATTTAGCTATTTTTATCTAAATATGCACTTGTTTTCAGCCAGTCTTTGTTGTTTTTTATGATGTAAATAACGTGAGGCAGGTTGCAACATAATAATACATTAGTCAGTGTGCTGAATAGCCAGTCAACTCTTACTGTAAATGTAGCACTTTATTTGATTGATGTTACTTAAATAGGTGACTGTTTTATTTACAATTTTAAAATACCAGTTTGTGTACCAGTTTATGTTGTGATTTGGCTAATAGAAAGTACTGAAAATGTCCTAGTGTGTTTCATTTAGCCCACACAACTTTAGGTTTAGGTGCCTCTCTACTATTCAGTGTTCTTGAAGCATTAACGATACCCAAACTATGCTTAGAAAAGCCTAATGTGCAGTTATTTATCATTATATCATCATATTGCCCATCCCTACCTGCCACTGCTAGCACAGGACAGAACAAAAGGTGATTAGCTAGTCCTACCAATTGTCTTAGCTGGGTGTCCGTTGAGAGGCCACCATTCCTTGCTGCCTGAAACCAACTCCACCACCTCTTGGTTTCCTTGGAGGACCTTTTGAAACAGACACAAAAGGGTTCTGTTCATGGCTAATGTTAATGTTAATGATAATGTGGCTAACACTGAATCAAAACTAGTCACGGCTAATTAGCACTTCGACAATGTTAACAGGCCCCATTCTGGCTTTCATATTTGAAAATGTTGTACTTTGTTAGTCAGGTCTACAGATGCATACGTTACCTTATTCAGCTCCATCTTCAGATTAAACGGACTGCTGCCGCACTGGAACAGTGATTTCTTAAAGCGCTCTATTGTGCGCCGCTGAAAAGTGTTCTGAGGTCCTGGTGGAAGCTGAAGACAATGCAATTAAAAAAAAAAAAATTTAGATTGACTTCCAAAACAGACTTTCATTTGCTAATTTAGGTATCAGTTACTGTGAAGTAACTCTCTCAAAGATTACCACAAAGGCTTTTGTGCGAGCTTTTAACAAAAGTGCAGTTTCATGAATTTATACTTTAATATTACTTTTAATTTTACTTGACAAGTAGCTGCTTGCTGTGAAACCTAAAGGACACTTAAACTAATGGTTCCTACCTAAAACTGACCTCTGCACTGGACAAAATATTTAGCGCTGACCTTTTTACTTAATCTATCAATCAGTTATTTTCTGAATAAACAAGAAATAAAAATAAAACAAGAAATAAAAGTCCTAAAAATAAATAAATACATAATAAAAATAAATGTAATAAAAAAACATTTAACATAGAAAATATTAAATGTAACTTTCTGATAATGTACACTGTGTTACACTAATTTTATCTTTTAAAAATGAAATATGAGTAAAGCATTTGTGGTCCTTGAAAATCATTGTTTCTTTTCATGTTTTGCCAGAGACAACCTTATAACTCCAAGCAGTAAGTGAATTCATAGGATTAGAAGGTTCTATCTGCATTTGACCTGTTCCAAAAAAACTCATTTACAAATCTGACAGGATTTTGATATTGTACATTTAGAATACATTTAAGGTGTCTGTAATTTGCATGTATAAAATATAAGTTTTTCGATTTGAAATGCAAAATCTTTAAAGCTCATTATCTCAAAACTGCTCAGAACGCAGGTAGAACCTTATAATTCCAAGGGGATGATATATAAATAAACACACACAAACACCACATGGGATACCATATCACAGACCTAGCAACAGCTTAGCAACTACCTCGGTTTCCACAGCAATGGCTTTGCCAAGACAACTGAAAGTTTGTCCATGAACTTCATTTTTCTAGTGTATTTTTCAAGTGCAGATGAGCTGGTCTGACCTGAGTGATGAATATAATCTTATGGAGAACTCCAAGCAGCCTTAGGTTTGGATCATCAATTTGTCTGACTTTTCTTTGGGACACATAGATTCCTGCTGATGCTGTGGATAAAGCAGAACAATGACTACAAGACATTAGCACGGAGGAGAAACAGCTTGTTTTAAAAGGGTACTCCAGTCAAAATGCTTCATAACAACCACTGCTTCCTTCATAATAACCATTGCTTTATCTGTTGTAAACATGCTTACTTGAATCCTACAGCAGCACCACTGTAGTCTCTAGAATGTTTTCAGGCTTAAGACTAGGAAAACCACCTTCGTATGATGTATCTTGAAGGTGAGAGGAACTACAACTGGAGCCGGGCTGTTTGAAATGTTTAAAATAGAATGTAATGGCACCAGAACAGCTTTAGTAGCCCACAGGTTTGCCATTATCAACAATGTCTACATTAGGAGAATACAGTTTACCCATATCTAATAATGAATATGTAGAGGTACACCCCTGCTAGAAAAAACTGCACAGACCAGCATGGCAGCATGTTGTGTTTTGGATGCTAGTATACTGGTCAGTAGCAATGGAAGTTGATTTGCTGGTCACCAGCAAAACCAGCATTTGTCGTGTTTTGGATGCTGGAATGCTGGTCAACCAGCATGACCATGCTGGGTGACAGACTAAACCAGCACCGCACCAAAAATTCTCCAATATCTTGGTTAAAGAACTCTCAAATGAGTATCAGTACTGGTGCAGAATCCTGTTGTATCAGTTCAGCCCTACCAGCGTTATCCACCCGGAAGTCAGTTCTTTGTTGTTGTGATGTAACACTGATTTGTCCTATAGGGAGCTATGCCAATAAAGTGGGACCATCACACAGTTAGCAAACGGTGAAACGAAGGCCGTTACCTGGTCGAGCTTTAGACTTCACAAAGTCACTGAAACATATAAGAAAAGAGAAGAAAAATAGCTCAGAACTGAACTCTTTTAAGACCAAAGCCTTGAGACAAATCTGTTTTATCACCACACTTGAGCCTGCTACACCTGAGATCTTCAAAACAGTGAAAAAGTACAACCTTACCGGCTTTGTTCCTCTGTAACTGAGCAGCTGTCTGGATGCTTTGCTGAGTCAGAAAAACAGATGAATTCCCTAAGACTAGTTATATAAGTGATAAAGCTTATTGTAAATCAGAGTGTATTGTTTGGTCAGAATGTACTGTATCTGCCTGGTTGACAGACTTACGTAGATTTTGGAGTAGATTCTCCTGAACTGAGGCTGATCTCACGACAGACCTGGTGGTTGTTGAGGCATCACTTGATTCCATGTCTGTTTTAAAGTATCAGCAGAGTTACACTTAAAGGACATTCAATTTAGTATGCAAGTAATTTTGATAAATCTGTGTAAAAGTAATATTAAACACAATACAATTTTTAGGGCCTACATTCTACATTTTTTTTGTATTTTATGTTTCCCTATTATGTCCACTCAGAATGTTAGTGTGGTATCAAAAATACCAAAAAAAAGTCACTAGGCCTCATTCACCAATATCTTCCTAAGTTTTTTCTTAAACGTGTTCTTGAGAAAAGTCCTAAGAAAAGGTCTACATCAGATTAATGACGCTCTTAAACCGCAGAACTGTTTGCACCTGGGATCTTGAGTGTGTGTAGATTCTGTTCTTACCTAATAACTAATACTACTTGTTACTTGTTCTGCAGGAATATTTTTCCACACCATCCAATTTCAGTCTTCGGTTTCTGACTTTTGACACTTGTTCTGTAAATGACCTTTGTTCTGATTGCTTTTATTGTGCCTTGTTCAAAAAGCAGCCTGGGCTCAAATGTGCAGTAACAACTTTTCCCATCACGTCAATGTAAAAGGATGAATTTACACTGCTGTAAGCTGTATAGATGATCATGTGCAGTTGCATCTATGGTTGTGACATCACAACCATGATGAAATCAAAACTGGCTGTTTTTAGAGCTTCTGGAGTGTGTGCACATTCTGAAACTTTAACGATACTAACATACCTCAAACTCTTATTTCAAGAGAGAAAAAGCAAGAAAAATAGTTTGTTCCATGATATGGGCCCTTTAAGTCAATTCAAATTCAAAAAATGGGAAAATATGCATTCTAAAGAATATCTAGAAACTCTTTCCAGGCTATAAGGTCTTTTTCTAACCTTGGACAGGAGCCTCTCCATCTGCTGAGTCTGAGAAATGTAGGTCAGACTGGTGGCCATCTTCATTAATAAGCAGCTGATCTTTAGAGTCTGTTCCCTAAGAGACATGAATGGCATGTTGCCAATATCATCTCATAAAAGCAGCAACTTGTTTAGCTGTGGTTTATAATAGACTGCCACAATATGACTAATTCTTATGCAGAGCTGTTAAAAAAGTATTGGATTTTCTTTTGATCATGGCAAATGTCCTTACAAAAACTTTCTGGACCCTAGTGGCCATTCCACTGGCAGAATGGAATGTGACTTTACATTTTTATTAACATAGTCAAATAAATTATTCCCCATTACTCCATTATCAGAGTGACTACACACTTACAAAATGATGGCTTATCTTTAGTAAGGAAAATGGTTCTATATAGAACCATAACCATTTAAAGAACCCTTTACATGATTAAACTGTTCTTTTCACCATGACATTGTTCTTCAGACTGATGGAGAATGTGCTGTAGATGGTTCTATATAGCACCAAAAAGTGTTCTTCTATTGTTACAGTATCAGGCTTGTTACAATAGAAAAACCCTTTTTGGAGCTATATAAAACCCCTTTTACAGCACATTCTCTATCAGTATAGAAAACCCTTCCACAGTGTAAAGAATCCTTTAATCATGTAAGGGGTTGTTTGGAGAATGTGCTGTAGACTGTTCTATATAGAACATTTTTGAAAAGGTTCTATAAGGTGACAAATATACAGTAATAGAAAAAATCTTGAAATAATCTGTGTTACATAACATCAAGGTTTACAGCATGAAAGAAAACACATTATAAGGTTCAGTTATTTTTGTTTCTTTACCTGAGGCACAACTGAAGACCCGCTCATGATCTTCATCCGGTTGTTTTCTAAGCAGTACTTCTGTGCTCGCCTCCTGTCTCGCTCTGCTCTTCTCTCCAGCGTGACGTGAGAGGTGCTTAAGCTGTCCATGAACCTCATCATTAGGTCACAGATTCTGGAACTGACCTCCACAGTGTCGGGACGCAAATCTGGATTGGGGGTCAAACACCTGGCCAGTGGACAATAACAATGGGAGATCAACCAGTAAATGTGATAAAAGATTTACAGTACAAACAAAGTGAAAACAACACAAAATACAATTTAATGATATTAAAAACAACATATCTGTAAGAACCTCACCATTTTATCATGTCTGTAACTCTGTCTGAGAACGCAGGGTCTTCCACAGGCTCAAATGCGGCTTCTACAATCTTGAAAGTATCAAAGAAGTGGATATATATATATATATATATATATATATATATACACACACACACACACTGATCAGGCACCTCCTTGACCACCTCCTTGTTTCTACGCTCATTGTCCATTTTATCCACTTACTATATAGGTGCACTTTATAGTTCTACAATTACAAACTGTAGTCCATCTGTTTCTCTGCATACTTTGTTAGCCCCCTTTTACCCTGTTCTTCAGTGGTCAGGACCCCCATGGACCATCACAGAGGAAGGAACCACAACAACTCAGCCATGAAGTGTCAGACCACTTACAGTTACAAAGCGTGTCGCCGAGTGCTTAGGCACAAAGTGCATAAAAGTCCCCAACATTCTGCTAATTCAACAATTTCAGAGTTCATGGCATGGGTTTCCATGGCCGAATCACACTTGTCTGATGGACAAGTCTGGGTTTGGGGAATGCCAGGAGAACATTACCTGCCTGACTACATTGTGCCAACTGTAAAATTTGGTGGAGGAGGGATAAAGCTATGGGGTTGTTTTTCAGGAGTTGGCCTAGGCCCCTTAGTTATCTTAATGTTTCAGCAGACCAAGATATTTCTAACCTTGTGAGAACAGTTTGCGGAAGGCCCTTTTCTGTTCCAGCATGACTGTGCCCAGTGCACAAAGCGAGCTCCATAAATTCATGGCTGGGTGAGTTTTGTGTGGAAGAACTAGTTCAAAAGTTATGCTGACATTATCACCTTTTTTGTAGCACACCCACTTTTTAAAGCTTCAGTGTCTCAGATACTACAAGACAAAATCCTAGAAATGTTCCACATCTGTTGGACATCATAACATTAATTTTTAAACATTTAAAGTAAATTTGACATGAAAGACGCAGGTCTTTCAGGAATTCAAATCAGTCAGAACTGAGATCAGCTACAGCAACTGAATGAGACTGAAAGCAGTTGTTATAACTGTTGTTATATATAGTTGTTATAGGATAACTGTTTTTAGTTGGCATTTTTTGCTAGTTTAATTATAAGTTTAAATAGATAATTTCTTAACTATCCATAACTGAGTCCATAACTGATGGTTTGTCACCTTGGTGGCGAGGGAGAGCATGTTGGTGCTGTAGAAAGGAGGCCTGAGGGTGACCATCTGATACAGGATGCAGCCAGCAGCCCACACATCAGCCTTCTCTCCATATGGCTCACTCTTTACAATCTCTGGACTAAACATAGAGCCACATTCACTCTACACAATAAAACCAGTCACATGCTTATAAAATCACTCTTAAAATGTCACTTGAAATGATACTTCACCCTATATTGTACATATTCTTCCCACTCAGAATGCTAGCACATAAAAGAGTGGACGCAAGCACGGCTAACAACAATGACTGAAAATGCTAGCATGGCTAACAATGCTTGTGGAGATTAGTTTGTGGAGATTAGTTTGCATTCTGTCACCATCAGTATTGTTCATTCATATCTATTCCGACAATACAACAATACAAACCAGGAGTACAAAATTGTCCCAACCACAGACATCAGCTTGCTTGTCTCTTGTTTCTGCTTTGCAAGACCAAAGTCAGCTGCAAAACAAGACGTTTTTGGTTATGTTTTGTCTATGTTAATATGTTCCATGATAACTTGTGGCTGTTTCACTGACTGATGGTGACTTTGTCTCTCTCTCCGAGCATGATGTTGTTGGGGGTAAGATCTCTGTGGACGATCCTCTTCTCCTTGTGCAAGTATCTTAATGCCAGACACATCTAAGGAGGTTTCAGAACAAAATCCAGACCTTCAAGTGGACAGTTGGACTGTTATATTATCTTAACTCATATTGTATTTCTCATGTTATAAGGAATATGCAGTACTATTCATATAAAGTCAGAGACCACCCTTCATTTCTTTAATTTTCCAGTCAAAATGGCCATTAAGTAGTTATTTATTTCTCACTGTCATGAAAAAAAAACAGAAAACTTATTTACCAGAAAATCACGGAAATCTATTTTTAGGAATTAGTGTGTACACTTTATGTACACCTAATTACAGCTTCAATTCTTTCCAGGAGGCTTGATTTAAATTTTTCAAAGAAATCTGCAGGGATATTCTTTCACACCTCCAAAGTTCAGTCTTAGAAGTTGGTTTAGCATTTTCTGCTTCTCACAATCAACCCCAAACACATTCTGTGATGTTGAGGTCTGGACTCTGGGGTGGTCAGTCCATTGTTCAGCTTCTTTTTTTGATTTGTCTGTCTCCTTTTCTCAGTGAGGCTTCTTGATAGCTACACATCCTTTCAGACCCATAGCGCTTGTCTTCTCTTCTTCAAGAGTTGTCTTCTCACACTGGAAGGATGGCTGTGGATGTTTTCAGATCTGAAGTAATACGGGAGCTGGATTTTCTCCTCTCTCTCAAAGATGAAAGCTTTAAGTGCTGTTTATCTGATGGGGCAGTTTGGTGGTCTACCGTGTCTTCCAGGTGGTTGTTAGGAGTCCTATTTTCTCTATAGCTTTTATACATTTTTTAAAATTCCTGTTTTAGAAACCCCTTTTTTACTTGTTTACCTTTGACTATGCCCCTTACTTATGCAAGTGGATTATTTTATATCTGACCTCAGAAGCATCTCCTGAAAAATGAATATCATGGCTATATACAGGATGATTCAAAAAGATTCATCTTATTTCAAAATTATTTATTTCACTTGTAAATCATTATAAAGCAGTAAATTGTAAATGCTTTAAGTGAGCATAAAGTTTATTATGTAATTTTACAAGTGCTCAATATGACCTCCTTCAGCTGTGCAGACAACATCAACGCGATAAATTCATAAATTCATCCCATATTCAGTTGAGCATGTCTGGTATCACTGTACTCATGTCTGGTATCACTGTACTCATGTCTGGTATCACTGTATACCAGTGATACCAGACATGCTCAGTGCGATTTCGAAGATCATCCAGTGTTGTGGAACCAACAACGAATGCTCTGAGCTGTTGGAGGTTCACTGCCAACGAAAATCACGTTGCACAGTTATGACTGATTCACTCTTATTGAAGTGGAGAACGCCAAGCACTTTCTGCTCAGGGGTCTCATCTCCTCACAGTCAGAAACTCTATGACCCCCTCTTTCAATTGGTATGTGATTGGATCCTAGGTGCCTCACGGTTGTAAAAATATGTTGCTTTGAAATCGGATGAATCCTTTTGAATCACCCTGTATATAATGGCTATTTCGATTGGAAATCAAATAAATGAAGGCTGCTCTCCGACATGTGCACAGTGCTTTAAGTGTTAGATAGCAGGCATTCAATTACCTGAATGAAGATGTTCCACACTCTCTCTTCAGTGAACGTCTGCTGCTTTTCTTTGAGTGAGCTGAAGTGGTCAGCAAGTGGTGCGCCTTCCACGAGCTCCATGACAATGTACAATCTGTCACCTGATGCACATACAAAATCTGGTTGAAAAATCAAACTACATTGAAAAAAAATAAAGAAAGATTTTTTTAAAAAACTTAAAGGTGATTCTTATTTACTAAATAGGTATTTGACAGTTTTTATTGAATTAAATAAAAATATGGAATTTAATTTAAATATGCAAACTATTCAAAGATAAAAGAGAGATACTTACATTCTAAAAATGTCTTGAAGTATTTGACAATGTTTGGGTGTGCCATCTAAAAAACATGCTATCATTAGTGCTATCAATGTCAAATAACTGTGCTAGTATATTGGCTCCTAACGTCAGTCCTGAGAGATGCTCTGCAAATGTTTGCATTAGCCCTATTATCAAACACCACATTCAGCACATAAGAAGCTTGTTCATTAGTTAATGAGCTGAATCAGCGGTGCTAGACAAAGGACAGCAGAATGCAATACATCCATATGAACACATGAGGGCAGTAAAGCTCCAGAAGGGTTGATCATCACAGTCAATGTAAATACACTGAATCTACCTGCTCTTTGATTATGGTGAGCTCAGACACAATCTTCTCAACGTTGCTGTCTCTGGATTTCTTGTCATTTCCAAAAGCTGGGTTGTGGAGGTTGACCTCCTTCAGTGCCAGACAGTTCTGTGCCCCCTGTTTACGAACCTTTAAACACAAACCCACCATACTAACCAACAGAAACCTCTCAAAACCTTTACAGCACAGTGATCACTGATCCAGAGGATACTAAGTATCATTTTGAAAGTAATCTTCTCCTGTGAGTTCTGGGAAAAGCAGTTTAGGCTGTAGGACTGATAAAAGATTAAAGATGGGCTTTACCTTGAAAACACTTCCGAAGGCTCCACTGCCCAAGTGGTCCAGAATGGAGTAGCCATTGATCACTTTAATAGGTGGCCGGTTCTGGTTCACTGCCTCAATTCTCTCCCTCAGTCCATCCAATTCTTCATTCTACAGACAAGAATAAAGGCTTTAGACTCTGGAAATAAAGGTGAGAAAAGGGCTTTTTGGGTGGACATTATGGACAAACCACTTTTGGTTCACTAAAGAACCATCTTTGTAAATGAGATGTGAGCGTGAGGACCCTTTGAACGGGTCAGAAAACCTCTACACAATGTAAAGGTTCTGTTCTAAGAGATCTTGTTGTGCATTATTTTGTAGTCAGCGACATACACAAAAAAAATTGGGTTTAAGCAGCTTTTCTATGTGTTAAATATGGATGGCGGTTTGCAAAATTGCTGCTATAATACAATCAATTATAAGAATTAATTTAAAATCGTATAAGAAAATGATACAGATCAAATTAAAAGATAAATACCATGAGATGTAGAGTTATAATTAAATGCTAAGTTAAAGAGATACGTTTTTAAATGCTTCTTAAAAGTGAGCACTGAGCTTGACTGTCTAATAAAAGGTGGAAATGAGTTCAGTTTTGAAGCAGAATAACTGAACGATTCTCTCCATGTTTTCTGTGTTTTACAGAAGGTGTTTGCTGAAGGTCAGTATCTGCAGATCTAAGATCACGTGCTGGAACATAAACAGACAGACACTCTGTGATGTAAGCGGTGCTTTAAGGTCATTTAGAACCTTAAAAACTAGTAGCAGAACTTTCAAATCTATCCTGAACGATACTGGTAGCCATTGCAGTTTTTCCAAACTTTGCCAAAAACTTATAAGATTAGTTTGCTGACTAGTTAGCTTTTCTTAACTTAGCTGCTGACAGCTAGCTTGATAAATCAGTCAGATTACACGGGACTGTACAGCGCTGAATATTACCACATTTGTACGTCCTCCTCAGCTTCTAACATTGAATAGCTCCACTGTTAGCTTTAGCATTAGCTCTAGCTCATTTGAAGAAGCAGCTTTCCACGCTCCTTGTTACCACTTAAATGTTGAGTGGCTAAAACATTTCTCTACTTTGATTAATGTAAACATGGTGTCCAGAATTCTTTTTTGTTTAAGTTGGCCAACATTTCATATTTTGTCCATTCTCAAACACGTACGTCTGCACTGAGCATAATCCCCATATGGAAAAAAAAACAAAACATATATTTTTATATATTTGAAAAATATTTCGAATACATTGCGATTCATGCTGGAATACATTCCAAACACTACAATGTATTTCAGAATATATTACCATATTAACCAATATTATAAAGTGCATTTATTTTAAATCTTTGGGGAAATACTACACCTAAAATGTACCGTACAAGAATAAAAGTATGTAAATGTATTTATAAAACACATGCACTAATGCACTTTACTGTTTAATATATATATATATATATATATATATATATATATATATATATATATATAATTAGTTGTATCTGTAACCTTTGTTAAAACTACATACAATTGAAAAAATATAATAGCAAATATATATTTTTTATGGGTCAAGTTTTTTTCTTGACTGAAAACAGTCAAGTTATCAATTGTACTTAATTTGTTTCTAAATTTTTCTCTGTGCTACTGAATTTCAAGTCTGTTAGTACAAGCTCTGATGATGCTACCACTTAGCCTAAGCAGAAAGTCTGGCAGATGTGTCAAAAATAACTAAGGGACACTGGACTTGTCAGAATTTTGCAAATGGTCAACTACAAGGTGGTTAAGTAGTGGTAATATGCATACTGCTACATCCATGCTACAAGTTAATACTCCTGTAGTTAGTCTAATACTGTACTTCTACTGTACATAACTACTAATAAAACAACATCAGCTACTCAAACTGTACTTCATCCCACATTTCACAAAGCTTACTGGTTTGTGTGGGGAATTTCAGTGAGGCTGATTATCTTATTTTCCTCAATTCTATGCACAGAAGAAGCAGCTTGCATGTAGCAATATGCATATTTTAACCCCTTAATAACCTCATAATTCAGAAGATCTAGTGAGAATCGGATGAAAAACGTGAGATAGCAGCATTTTTCAAGAATGCCATGCATTTTTCCCATAGAAAAAAAGGCTTTGACCATGTGTGCCTTATTTTCAAATAATTTTAGACATCTTGCCCAAGGCAAGGACCGTTTAGGAACCTTTATTTTTAAGACTGTGCAGTAATACAGACATTTGTCATGTCTATGAATGCATGCATGACAAAGGCGCAAGTGTGACATTTTACTTCTATTTATGAAGGGTGGAGGATGCAAGCATAGCAAGTTTACCGAAAGCAATGAAGTTTTTTCCTGCAGAGGTTTGTATGCTGCGATGTCTCTCACATAATGTCCGATATCAATAAACGTCTCAAACAGTTCTGATGGGAAGAGCCTTTACAAACAAAGGTTCATGTTCAACAGTGCATCTTCAGTATAAAAAGTGAACAGCATACATCAAACCTAATACAGTGTATCATTTGTACCTTTTGAAGAGATGCCGGTTGCGTTCCATGCTAAAAAGGAAGCGGAGGGTCCTGAAAGCATAACACTTGGAGAAAAAAAAGTTTTATGTTTACATCCACCATGAAAACTAATAGCAAACATGCATCTCAATGCACCTTAGAGAGGCATTCCATTGATTCTTCTACATTTCTGCATAACTAAGAGCTATTTAGAGTGGTTTGGTGTGAAATGCTCTTTTCTAGAGAAACTTCCCAGTCAGAATTGTTCACAGTGGTGTTGATAGGAACCGGACGTCCACCTCTAAATGAAAAAAGAATTGGTTATGAATACACTGCCTGATGACTGAGACACTGTTTAATGATAGTTTTGAGACGATTTTGGCCTAAAATGTTTTTTTTTATTAATTCATGGTGGAGAGATATACGTAGGGCGTCCCCCCAAAAAAAAGATTTACCACTATTTTGCCATCATCAATATTACATATAAAATTCACATGTAGGATCACTGGTGGTTTTGGGTAGTAAATAAAATGGCTATATTTGTGTTGTAGATATTGTGACCCCTGGTTCCCATCACTACAACTGTAAAGACATCTGACTTTGTTTACATCTCCACTAAATTATGCAAAATTGGTGGAATTCCCCTTTGAAATATGTCCTTTAGAGACAGCAAATGAGTTAAAAAGTGTCAACACTGCAGTCTTCTACATAGCACTCATTGTAGGGCAAAAATTAAGGTCATGTCAACATTTTTAAAGCCTCAATATCTCAGAAACTATAAAGACATTAGTGTTACATTTGGCACACTAGCTATTAGATATAATGGTCAGTTTGGAGGCCTATTTAAATTAAGAAGTTGTTTACATGTATGCAACCACCCTGACAAACAATGCGATTTATGCCTGTAAATTATAATACACACTGTGTACCTGTAGTGATGCTGCCTTTGGTCCTGTCGCTGAGCCTTGGGGCAGTATCATTTTACCAATTATGTACACCCCATTCTCCTGAGACAAGGGGAGAGATTACATCTCAGTGCACTGAAACATGTGGGATTTGGACTGAGCAGATCAAGAAATGTGTCCATCTTCTGAGCTGAAGTGATTTACGTACCTGCACCACAAGGTGGGCTGCAGTGTCGTCCAGCACCAGCTCCGTTATTGCTGCGCAGCATGCTGGTGGCAGAGAGCAAGAACGGAGCGTGTCAGGTGTATGAAAATACAGCATCCTGGACAGAAGGCTGTAACACAAGGCTGTACCAAATACAGCAGGTTTAGCATAACTGCTAATTACAACTGGAAACTTAACTAACATTCACGACTAAAGACTCTATTTGGACTGACACTTTACAGACTCAAGACTTAATTGGACTCACACCTCAGAGACTCGAGACTTGACTTGGACTCGCACCTTGGAGGCTCGAGATTTGACTTGGGCTCGCACCTCAGAGACTTGAGACTCAAGACTTGACTTGGACTCGCACCTCAGAGACTCGAGACTCGAGACTTGACTTGGACTCGCACCTCAGAGACTCGAGACTTGACTTGGACTCGCACCTTGGAGGCTCGAGACTTGACTTGGGCTCGGACCTCAGAGACTCAAGACTCAAGACTTGACCTGGACTCGCACCTCAGAGACTCAAGACTCGAGACTTGACTTGGACTCGCACCTCAGAGACTCGAGACTTGACTTGGACTCGCACCTCAGAGGCTCAAGACTTGATTTGGACTCATACCTCAGAGACTCGAGACTCGAGACTTGATTTGGACTCGCACCTTGAAGGCTCGAGACTTGACTCGGGCTCGCACCTCAGAGACTCGTGACTCAAGACTTGACTTGGACTCGCACCTCAGAGACTCGAGACTCGAGACTTGACTTGGACTCGCACCTCAGAGACTCGAGACTCGAGACTTGACTTGGACTCGCACCTCAGAGACTCGAGACTTGACTTGGACTCGCACTTCAGAGGCTCAAGACTTGATTTGGACTCGTACCTCAGAGACTCAAGACTTGACTTGGACTTATACCTGCGAGACTCAAGACTTGATTTGGACTCACACCTCAGAGACTCGAGACTGGACTTGGACTTGCCCTCAGAAACTCAACACTTGACTTGCACTCAGCGACTCGAGTATTGAGTCAGACTCACACATCAGCGGCTTGAGACTCTAGATTGGACTCACACCTCAGCAAATTGAGACTCGAGTCAAACTCGCACCTCAGCAGCTTGAGATTTGAATTAGACTTGCACCTCAGAGACTTAAGAACTGATTTGGATTCACACCTCAGCAAATTGAGACTCGAGTCAAACTTTCACCTCAGAGACTCAAGACTTGATTTAGACTCGTACCTCAGATACTCAAGACCTGATTTGGACTCACATCTCTGCAAATTGAGACTCAAATCAGACTCGCACCTCAGCGACTTGAAATTTGAATTAGACTTGCACCTTAAAGACTCAAGACTTGATTTGGACTCACACCTCAGAGACTCAAGACTTAATTGGACATACCTCAGACTCAAGACTTGATTTGGACCGATGCCTCAGAGACTCAAGACTTGATTTGGACTCGAGACTCGAGGCTCAAATTGGACTCGCACCTCAGAGACTTGTGTAAAGTGACTTTTGAATGTCTCTGATAAACATCAGCACACAAGATAAATGCAGCACTCTCTACAAACAACATTATAAAGTCCTGCGGCTGGCTTATTTAGCCATGAACACATGGGAGGCGAGGCCATGCAGTGCGGTGACACACAAAGCACCACAAGAGCACTGGACTTGCAGTAAGAAAGACTTAAGTGTATAAATAAATTGTGGTTCAGTCGAAGATTTGCACACGGTATTTGAGCTGTAATGGGTTTTGAGGTAGTTAGGCGGTGTTAAGTGACTTTAACAGGAAACATGTGGTTAGATGTGACCTGCCTGCTTCCGAGCTGTATCCGCTAACAATGAGTGATGGTTCAGCTTCTGGTTCAATGCAAGAGGCTTCATCTAAAGCATTGTTTCCCATGTGCTCTTCTACTACACCAACACCACAGTATACACAAAAATAGCTTGAAGAAAAGCTTTTACTGAGATTCTCTTTTGATTGAATCGATGCTTATCCTAATTATTTTCCCCCTTACAAGATGAGCAAGAAAACCACTACAGTACATGGCCACTGATTTGCTCATGTTGTTTCTGACACTGTCATAGAGCAGAAATGTTTTTTTATGCCAAAATGGTGCTGTATGTGCTTGTGCTTACCAGCATAGAGAGACATGGTGTTCTCCTCCGCCTCGACTGAACTCAGCTCCTCAGACACGTGGGGTCTGTGCAAACGGCCAGCAGCATTAGCACTAGAGAGGGTCTCTATGGACGAGCGATCAGACACATACACTCGCTCTCTGGGAAGAAAGGCACACACAGATTTTGGACTTTATAGGTGCTGTACATGTATTTTCACTCAAACTACTAGTTATTTATTTTAGAAGACAATTAGATATAAGGCATAAGATATTCCATTTGCATAAAGAAGGGGAAGGTCAAAGGAAAATGAGTGAGAAACAGTAGTTTCCAAAAAAACATTAAAACAATGGTTGCAGAAATAGTAATTTCACTCTACTGTTAAATTATCATTGCATGCATGCAAGACCTAGTAGACCACCAAAGCTGTCCCTATCAGTCAAAACGGCACTTAAAGCTTTCGTCTTTGAAAGAGAGGAGAAAATCAAGCTCCACTCTTCCTTCAGATCTCAAAAAATCCAAGGTGTTTGTCCATCCTTCCACTGTGAGAAGACACCTCAATGCCATTATCATTTATCGGAAAGAAGTTTTTCAACACCTGTATCACCCATATAAAAAAAAAAAACTTGCCCGGCCACAAACTCAGTAAATGGTTGTGCCACCTTTAGCAGCAACGACTGCAACCTAACACTTTCTATAACTGGAGATCAGACTTTGACATTGCTGTGGGGGTGTTCTGGTCTACGCTTCTTTGCAGAACTGTTCTTCAGTGAAATTGGAGGGCTTTCCAGTGTGAAGTGTCCTTTCAGTATCCTGTCACAACAGGGTTCAGGTCAGGACTTTGAGGCCATTCCAGAACCTTAACTGTGTTTCTTATGAACCATTCAGAGATGGACTTGCTCTTCTGCTTGGGATCACTGTCTTGCTGCAAAACCTGACTGTGCTTGAGCTTCAGATCATGGACCAATTTATAGTTCTGTCAATCATGACGAGTTGCCTAGACCCTAACACAGCAAAGCATTCCAATACCATCACACTACCACCATCATGTTTCACTGTTGGTATGATGTTCTTATTGGAATGCTGTGTTAGCTTTACTCTAAATGTAATAGGAGCCTTGTCTTCCAAAAGGTTCCACTTTTGACTCAGAACAGGACATTATTTCACATGGCTTGTGGGGCCATCAAGTTGTTTTTAGTTTTTTGGCAAATGTGAGACAAGCCATTCATTTAAGTTCTTCTTAGTTAGCTGTCGTTTTTGCCTTGCAACTCTCCCTTGGGAACCTTGTTTGGTCCCTTTCTAATAGTGGAATCAGAAATGCTGACCATATCTGAGAAAAGTTTCTTAGAGGTTATTCATGACTCATTTTTTCAGAGTTGCCCCTGTACTCTTGGCAGAATTTTGGTAGGCCAGCCAATTCTGGCAATAACTGTGAGACAAAAAAACTGTGAGACAAAAAAGTGAGAGTTTTTAGCCTACTTTACATTGCTGAACAGATTCTATTTAAGTGATGTTCAGATTCTACAGGGCTGGCAGTAATCAAGTCTGTGTGTGTCTTGTTTACTTGATTCCAATTATCAACTGAATTTGGTTAACTGGTTAATTGAGTAACTAATGGGGCAACTACTTTTTCAGGCCAGTTGGTGTTGGATATGTTTTTTTTTTCTTCAGTTAATGAAGTGATAATTTAAAAACTTAAACTTTGGGTTTAATCAGGTTGTCTTTGTCTTATGTTCAATTTTGTTTGAAAATCTGAAACATTTAATTGTGACAAATACACAAAAGTAGAAGAAATCAGTGTTAGTATTTATTCACAGCACTGTTTAAACTGTCAACCTACATGTGAACACAGCTGGTCATGTTGTTTCACACGAATGATAAAATTATATATATACTTTCTAGCACTTTATCTGCAGTCAGTTTCAACAATGCTGTTCTTGGCCGGATGTCAGCTCAACACATACTGCAAAAACCACAGCCTGACCACTTTTGAGAAATACACACTCTACTCCATCAGTGTCACTGCTCAGAATAGTTAACCGTCTGCATATATAACTGAACAGCAGTGGTCCTGTGGTCAGAAACTGACCGATGATGAGTGGGGTAGAAAGATGCTGAAAACCTGTGCATCAACAGATGGGCTACAGTCTATAACTGAACATGGTACACTATCTAGCTTCCATACTGTAGTTTGCCTGAAGTGCCAGTTCAAACTGATAGTTTTCTTTATCCCAAAATCAGTCAAGATATGTTTGATGCCTTGTTAGCTTAAAGCCACTGGGTTAGCATTGTGCAAACTGCATGCCAATATTGTCACACGCCTCTGACTGTCCCTATTTTGAAGAGAACAGTATGTCATAAACAGAGATAAGCATGTGTTCTCAGTTCTGATATTCGAACACTGAAATTACTATTCAGTATTCGTTGCATTTCATCATGACAACATGGAAAAATACAACAACAGGCCAACATTTGAATGATGTTCTAATTTAAAAAAGGACTGTAAAATGTAGCAGTTTTGCATGTATTTGTAAATAAATATACACGACTAGCCTCTTCATTAAGTACACCTCCTTATATCTACACTCTGTCATTTTATCAGCTCCATTTACCATATAGGTGCACTTGATAGTTCTGCAATTGCAGAATATAGTCCATCTGTTTCTCTGCACACTTTGTGAGCCCTCTTTTACCCTGTTCTTCAATGGTCAGGACCCCCACAGAGCAGGCATTATTTAGGTGGTGGATCATTCTCAGCACTGCAGTGACACTGATGTGGTGGTGGTGTGTTAGTGTGTGTTGTGAGTGGATCAGACACAGCAGTGTTGCTGGGGTTGGACACTAAATGAGCAATACATATAGAATAAAAGTAGGTGTATCTTGCTGATTTTAGCTAGATCTAGAAATAATAAAACATACCTATCTGTCAAACATTGATTCCTGAGAAGAAAAAAACTTTGTGTAAAAGATAATAAGTCTCCATTAGCATCCAACATTGTATCTGTTAGCTCCAGTGTTAGCTTATTAACTCATCTGAAGAGGCAGCTGTTTCTGAATAACAAAGTCCAGTGGTGTGCCTCATAAAACCATTGCTGTTATCTAAAAATAAAGCCTTTCCTGTTGTTAATCGGATTTCCTGTCGTTAATCCATTCATTAACTCTTTCGGAAAACTCAAACGTCAATATCAGTCATAATGCAGATCTATAGTCATAAACCACATAAGCAAGTCTAATTGATTTTAAAGGGAAATTTCACTGATTTTTCAACATTTTTGCCTAATTTTGTCACTGTAAAGTAATTCAGAGTGGTTTGATGTGGAATGGTTCACTATAGAGAAACTTGCAGACTCAGATTTCTTTACAGTGGTGGTGATTGGAACCAGGGGTCACCATGACTACAACACAAATATGCCATTTTATTTACAATCCAAAACCACTAGTGAACCTGCACATGTCTTCCAGGTTTTTAGATGCAATGTTTATGATGATAAAATCTGAATCTGGAAAAAGAATTTTTTAGGGGGTTTATTTTGCCTTACAACACCCTGCATATATCCCTACGCCATGAATGGATTAAAATTTGTGGATTAACAAGATGTGTTAGGCCAAAACAATGTCTCATCAGGCAGAGTTTACATAACCATTTTGTATAATGACTTTCTGTGACGGAGCTTTTAGAGGCAATAAATCCTTCAGACATTTGGTTCCTATTAGCACCACTGTGAACAATTCTGACTCAGTAAGTTTCTCTAGAATGAAGCCTTTTACATCAAACCACTCTGAATGGCTGCATCTTAATCATTTTATTAAGCATAAATTATTAAAAAATGGTGGAGTTCATTAGCACGATGTTGATAACTAAGGTATAATCTCCATTACTTGCTAGCTTCATTTGTCATCTAAAAAATAACAGCTTAAAACAGCTGTAGCAACGTTAATTTTTAATCAGCAGTCTTATATATATATATAACATAATTGGTCTAAGAGTCCATTACGATAGCTTGATTAGCTCCAATGCAAAATTATGGCAAACTTCACACACCGAATGTGTCTCAGGCAATTTTCATAAATTTGATTTTAACACAGCACCACCTGCTATTCACACATTCTTACTTGAGGAAAGATAATTTGGTAGTGTGTAAAAGAGGAGCTGTGCTGACCCATGCAGGATATGCAGGAGCTGCTGGACTCCACCCCAGGCACGGATGAGTGCGCTGGTGTGTGGATCCTGGCACAGCTGGACCAGCACCCACACCGTGCTCCACAACAGCTTCAGGTCATCCGCATGGAGCATACTCAGCAGCACAGGAACTCCCTCACACTGACACACCTGCTCCCGCACACACGGCACTGGACACAGCAGCCGCAGCAGCTCCGCACTCAGCCTGAAGGGGGCGCACAAACACAGCTACAGTCATATGAAAAAGCTTAAATACCTCCGGTCAATGAACCTTTAATTTCTTTCAGTTACTGAGTTTAACATATAAGATAAAAATAAAACACCAAAATACACAAATAATACAAATGTAAATTGCGCAATAACTTTTGAACAGGACACATTTTAGGTTTTATTATTTTTTCCCCAATATTTTAAATTAAAAAAATTATCCATATTGTGCATTGATGTTGATTGTTTAACTGTTTACTTACATCAACTTACAACACAATCGTATGGATGATATGGGTGCTTATAAAGTGGTGTACAAACGCAGTGATGCATTATGATACACTGATCTGAAGGTGGCGAGCCGATTGCATTATTAATTATGATTGTAATAATTAAATTATTAATTACAACAATTTGTGTCAACATAATTGATTTTTTTCTGAAGAATCTGAATCAAGACTACTTAATGCAATAACCTTCAGTAAGGAAGCTTTTAGTGGCGTTAACCCCCTTATCCCAGTCTTATTACATACTAAGGCTTATTATTCAGTAATACAGGGACTTCAATGCAAACTGGCTGAGCTATTCTTAGTTAACAGAAGTGTGTAATAAAACTTTGGGCCTGGTAGTGGACACTGGTCATTTAAGGGGTTAAACTCTTCAGACGTTTCTATCACCACCACTGTGAACAATTCTCAGTTTCTCTAGAACTAAGCATTTTGAAAAAAAATCAACAGAATATCCCTTTATCTGGTGGAAAAATGCACTTGTTAATTTTACCTTTTTGATAACATGTCATATTCCTGTAATATGATCAGAAGGTTCTCCACAACAGGCAGCTCTCCGATCTTCTCTCTGCACTCGGGGCTGAGAAAAGAGATACAATCAATCAACATCAGTCTGATACAATTTGTGGAATATTTTAAACTGATTGTACTTAAGGCACACCTGTCTGCTACAGTAGTGAGGGCCAGGAGAGCACCTAATAACACATTACTGTCCCGTGCAGAGAGGAGCTTCACAAGAGTCTGTGGACAGAAAGGAAAAACTCATGAAGAAACATTTGTAGTGAGCTTTATTGTGTGCTTGCCATTATATGGTGTAGTGTATTTGCCATTATTATGTGGTATTGTGTGTCTGCCATTATGCGGTGTTGTTTATATTCTCAGTGATAAATCTTTTGGTCGTTCTCAAGTCTGTTCACTATATATTCTACGTCCAAAGGTTTGTAGACACTCCTTCTAATGTGCTATCTAATGGTATTTGAAGGTGTATCAATTGCTGACACAGATTGTCCCAATCTCCATAGGTAAGCATTGCCAATAGAATGGGACGCTACCAGTATAAGGCATATAATTTGCAACTGAGAGATATTAGTGTTAAAGTAATATGTAAAGTAAGATCACACTACATTGTGGCTAAATGGTTTTGTTTGTACAGTAAATGCTCCTCTGGAACATATCTAACCTTGTGAGCATCACATTCAATCACCCAGATCCTCTGGTCTTCAGTTATGGACAGTTTCTGACACATGTCTACATGGAAAAAGGAAGAGAAAGTAAAGTAGGTGGCAAGAAAATGGTTTTGGTGTTTTGCTTATGTATACTGATTTGGTAATGTAGCTATTTTGTGACTCACGCATCATAGTCACCAGCTGCTCTGTTTCCAGTGCTTGGTCCCCATTCTCCAGATATGCACTGGCTACTGACTCCATGTACTGAAAAACATCAACTGCGTCTTTGACATGCACATAAAAATATTTCTAAACACCTTATGCTATAACATTCCACGTAAAATACGTTTGAATATGAAAGCTGTTCTAACTCTGTGACACTATTATGCTTCAAAACGTAACCATTCACTCTCCAGTTCATGTACAGAATCTGCAAAATGGCCTCTTTTGAATTCACTATTTTTGTGATATCATGAAAACCAACCTATTGACCTAGACCATATGGACAAAAGTACTGGGACACCTACACATTACACCCACATGAGCTATTTTGGCTTCATGGCTAAGCTGCTGTTGCTCCTGGGTGCTTCCATTTCACAATGATAGCACTTACAGTTGTCTGGGGCAGATCTAGCAGGAGAGAAATTTCACAAACTGACTTGTGGCAGAGGTGGCATCCTATGACAGTGGCATGTTTACAGTCACTGAGCTCATCAGTCTGACCCATTCTACTGCCAGTGTTTGTCTATCGAGACTGCAAGGCTATGTGCTTAATTTGATCCACCTGTTAGCAATGGTAGTTGAAACACCTGAACTCAATAATTAGGAGGTGTGTCCCAATACTTGTGTCTATATAGTGTAAATCCATTTTAACTGACATTATAAGGTGTTTCAGCCTGGACTACTTTTGAATCAACTGCCAGTCAGTTTAGAGGACATTTGCATATATCAGACTGAAGGCAACAGTATCAACAACAGGCAGTTTGTGATAGAGGTTAGAAATCTGTCATTTAAAATGATTTCTAGCAGGCAGCATATGGGCCCTTTAATACTTCTACTGACTCCATTAGCATATCATAATTTACAGTTTACCTTTACAAGGTGACTTAATCCATTGAGATCGTGGAACACTTTCTAAAAAATAAGATCAATTTTAAGAATAAAAAGGACAAATAGAAAGTTTGAAGACCTTTTAAATACAGACAAAATAATGACAACGTAAGGTAAATGGTGTATAGACAAACTGCACACAAAGGACGACATTAAACCTTTTTGTGAGGTATGATATAGAGAGCAGGGCAAGTTAAACCTGGTAATGATGCTCTCTTATTAACAATCTCAAGCAGATGAGAACTCTGAGGATATTTTCTGATGAAGAATGCTCCAGCCACTCACTGCAAAATAAGAGAAAAAAATGAGTATTTGTGTTTCAGACCTCCATTTGAAGTTGCTGTTGTATCACAATCTTCATAACTTTATAAGAGAGGGCACAACTTTCTTAACTTTCAGGAGCCTTTTCATGCAAAAACCAAAACAAAACATTTTTTTTTAATAGAAGAGTATGATGTAGGGTATAAACGCTTGAAATACTGTTCACTATTCAGTCCATACAGTCCATATGTGTAAACTAAGCTTTCTAAAATTCGTTCTATTTAACATGTTTACATATAGCCACCAATTCAGCATTTTAGCCCCGCCCTTTCACGCTGAAGTTATAAGGAGTGTTTCAGCTCGGGTTGCTTTTTGAATGAAGGGCAGCCAATCGGAACAGAGCTCATTTACATAAATTAAAATCACCTCCTTATTTCTACACTCTGTGTCTAACAGAAAGCTGATTTAAACTCCAGCAGCACTGCTGTGTCTGATCCACTCGTACCAGCACAACACACACTAACAAGCCACCACCAGGTTAGTGTCACTGAGAGTGACTTATTTTGCAGTGAGTGACTTGCCACCCAAATAATACGTGCTCTACGGTGGTGCTGTGGGCTTCCTGACCATCGAAGAACAGGGTGAAAGGAAGCTAACAAAGCATGCAGAGAAACAGATGGACTACAGTAATTGTAGAGCTACAAAGTGCACCTATCTAGTAAGCGAAGCTGATAAAATGGACAATGAGGTGATTTCAATGAAGCGGCTGGTCAGTGTTTAAGGCACAGTAACAAAAACAGCCTGTTTAATTGTAAGAGACTCAAAGAGTTCATGTAAAAAGAAATGATGACTGATAAATAAACAATAAAATACAAGAAAAATTAATGATGTGGCCAGTTAATGCACATTACTATAACAAGATTTTAAGTCTTTTTTGACCTTTTCCATAAAATGTCCACACAATGTAAAAGAAAGCTGGTGTAAAAAACGAAAAGTAAAAATAGAGTTAAACGCTACTGTTCGATATGACAGTGATGAAATACTGCTGGGGAACAGACCTGCAGGTGAGCCTGTTTTTGATGAGGGCAGTGAAGATGTCCAAGAACAGATCATGATGAGGGTGACCCAAGAAGTGCCTCTGATCTCTGTATTTTGCACTGTCGTGAAGAAGCGTAAGTTATGTTATATATTTCTCCAGAACTAATAATACAAACCAATAAAATCACAAAAAAAATCTTCATTAAGTACCTGAAGTTATCCAGTTCTGTGGCCTCAGGAGCTGAGTACCTCACATTTTTCCTGTCCTCGTTGACATGGGGTGAGTTCTGTGGCTTTCGGCCTTTACATTGGCCTGTCGTCACCTTAAGTGGCACATAGAAAGTTAGCTTATGTGCTTCAAAAATGACAGAGAGTCTATTACTGCAAATTTACACAGCATTGATGCAGAATGGCCACTTTTGGTACCTGTTGCTTGGAAAAGGGGACTGAGACGAATGAAAGAAGCCTCTTGAGGTCAAGTAGCTCTCTGAAAATTAGCACACAACATTTCAGTAAACATATAAAGGAAACATGGGTGTATATATGTATATACACATGTATTGCTCATTGAATAATCAATGTATCCCCATTTTAACACTTTTTTAATGTATCCTCAGCAATTTTGAGTCTGCCTGCCCTCAGTCGAAACATACTCATCCTTTTCTAGATTAGCCGCAGTCGGCTCATTAAGCTAGCCATGCTATAACAAATTTTATTTTTTCATAAAATTATAACAATACACAAAATGTGTGAATGACTGTTTTGTCAGGCTACAACCTTTTTTTTACTTTAGCACTTCGTTTAGCTGTGCAGCCTTTAGCCTGCTACCTATCAAGCTAGCAGATGGATTAGTTTGCTACATTAAAAGCAAACTGAATGTTATAGTTGTCAGTGCCCAACATTAATAAATGTCGACCAACAAGTGAAAGTTTGTGATGGACAAGTAGATATGAATTTACTTGTCTGAACGGACAGGCAAATACACAAGTTAAAATTTACTAGCAAATTAGAATGACCATTTCAGCATTTACCTTAAATGTGCAGGTTTCACAGCACAGTAGCTTACTGAGGCGTGTATTCATTAAATCTTCATCAGACTTGACGGCTTCACTGAGGGCAGCATCTAAGCTAATCAGTCAGAATGTCTTTGAAACCTCCACAAGTTCCAGACTAAGCTCCAAATAGGAGTAAAGCCAAGGGCTAAAGATAATAAGTTTGAGGGAACGTAAATTTATTCTGACTTGGAGGGATGAATGTGACTAAGTGAGCTACGACGAAGAAAAGATGATGTTTGCGTTTCCTGCTGTGTGTAAGTAGCTAAGCTAGCTACATTAGCCAAATTAACCATCAAACCACACGACTTGCTCACATATTATAAGTGTGTTTTTTTCCAATAACATAATTTTATATAGATATAAGAAGCAGGACTTGATTTATGTTAGCTAATTAGTGGATTTTATTCAACTAAATGTTAGCATGTTAGCTGCTCACTTAGCACTAGCTGATTTACCTCAGAAAATCATATGAATGAGGAAGAGAGAGAGAGAGAGAGAGAGAGAGAGAGAGAGAGAGAGAGAGAGTCTTTGAAGAAGCCTAATGTCAATCCCTGGTTTTGAAATATTAAGTGTTTTAAAGATTTTATTGCTACAGCTTAGAAACAACTTTGTCTGCTATTTTTTCAAGTTTAAAGAGGCGTAATATTGAAGTGGAATGTGTTTTAAGATTGCACTGCAGACTCCCCTGAGGAGAAACGGTGGGGCCGAGTGGTTGAGGGCTTGTTAACCAGTATTGAAACAGGTGGAGTACCTCCACAAAGACTTACTTCTCCTTAGATTTCAGGAACGATCTATCATGTCTTCTTGCTCGTCTTTCTGGATGAGGCATTTTGAAAACGTCTGTCTCTCATTCCTGTCGGCAGAAACAATTAAAGTAGCTTGTAGATGTGTAACAAAACCTAACCAGAGTAAAACAGTATCAGGCAAACAGTTTACTGAGTAACTAACAAAAAGACATTTGAACTTAACACAATCAGCAAAGGAACTGGAATTTGCTAGGCTAGAAAAAAAAGGTACTGAAATTCTTTTTGGACTAAAATAAAAAGCTAAAGCTCAGAGCTGAGCAATTTGGTGAAAATGTAATATCACAGTACTTCAAGACATTTCTATGATACATGATATGTCACAGTACTTACAATATTACAATATATCGCTGCTGTCAGAAGAAAAACGTATCTCCATTTTTGTCGTTTTTTAGTTTTTGACATAGTTTGAAAATATCTGTTCCCCTTTACATTGTATGTACATTTCATGATGAATGGACCAAAAGAAAAGGCCCAAAATTACTTAAAAAATCTGCTTCCATTGACTTACATTCAAAGTAAAGTATGTTTTTTCCTTCTCCTGTGAAGTTACCATTTTGGAGATAAGAGGATTTCTTCCGACAACAGCGACATATTACATGTGAGCAACAGGAAAGCAGTCTGCATGCTGCCGTCAACAGAACAGAATAAAATTAACCCCCAACAAAACTAATTAGGAACTAATGTTAAACACTAAAATGGACAAAAGTAGATTTCCTTCCTCACAAATACACATGAATGGAAGTCAAAGTGTCAAAGTACTGTTTGAACATCATAGGTCACCATTCACATTACAGTTATACAAATTAAACACTCTCTTTGGAAAGAACAACATTTCTACACGCAAAACTGGACACTGGACTTCATCAGAGAGTTTTAAAAGACTGCCATAACGGCCTTTCTCTCACCTAATTGTTTTTATGGAAAATAATCAGACGGTCTTTTTATCGTCCAAGGTCGCAATTTATTTCTGTCAAAGTTGACAACAACAACACAAGGACTGAATCAAATAGGGAGCCTCTATATTTAAAAGTCGGCTAAAAGAAGCCAATCACAAGGCGCGACGCTGAGACGTTGAGGAATAGCCATGGTAACGCCTAACGCTGCAGTTCGTTTTCACCCCACCCGTATTCGTACAGGCCCCGCCCTCCCGCGCTGTGATTGGCTAGTCGTAGCCTGCGTTATTATTTGTGGGATTATTTAGTGTTATTTTTAGTAATTCCTTAGTATTATATATATTATAATATTACTGAAGGAGTAATGTGTTTATTTAACAGACTAGTAGTTCGTATTCACAACCAGTCCGCTCTCCTCGTGTTGACCGAATACGGGTGGAAATAGAAACCTACGCGTACGCTGGAATTCAGTCAGTAAATGTCTAATGACAAACCGACTCTGATTCAGTTTGCTTGTTTGTTTATTTGTGTGCTTGTTTGTTTGTTTGTTGAATACTCACGGTTTTATACCATTGCTTGTTGCCATGGTTTGCAAACCTCCTAATTCAGCACGGCTACTGTGTGAGTTTCGTTTTGCTGCTCTTCTTCTGGTGGCTAAATATCAAATGGCGTCTCACTCCCTACTCCCTACATAGCGCACTACACAGCTAATAAAACTGCTTCTACACACAAATAGTGCACTGTATGTCTACAAAGAAGCCGTTTGGGATTCAGCCTCAGTTTGAGCTGATTTCTGGAGATTCTGGTCTTTCTGATGTTTGTGAAAAAGCTATATTTGCTGGAACACAGCTGGTCTGTCATCTTGGTTGTCGGAGCATTTGAGCAAAATCATAGTTATGATTAAACACTAAACACAAATGCTTAAACATTTTTAATGCAAAAGAATACATTCACTGCCTGAACACTGAACAGCATAAAGCATTTTAACACTGCTGTTATATTTTTAAGAGCTTTTGAACTCGAGTTATAGCAGTTTAAAATGGTGCCTCATGAATATTTATGAAGTCAGGCTAATGAGCTACTCCGCTCACCAACCAATCAGCGCTCAGTAGCACTAATGTTAGCATCCTGCTGCCCAAAACGCGTTTGCTGTAGAAAAAAGGAAACATGCAAGTCTTCTTTGCTTTTTTAGTGAAATACATCCTTCTACTTTTTAAAATTAAAGGAAAGTTCTGGGCAACTTTAATGTTATTTTAGCCGTTTAGCTCCATTTACCCCCATTCATTGAGGACTCGCTCACCGGCGCCCTCTGGTGTTTTGCAGTCATGTTTTTGATATAACAGGGGAAATAGGAAGAGGCCAGACTCCTCATAAACCTGCTCTGATACCGTTTTGGAATTAATTTACTGTTGTCCGAATAAATCACATTCGTTAAAGGCCTTTAGTGTCTACATTACTTATGCTGTATTCGGGTGATGTTGGAAACTGGGAAATAACCTACCAGTTTAAATGGCTTACAAAGTCATATTTACAACTGGTAAAATTGAGATTCTAGATAATGATTGTAGATAGTGTACAAGATGTGACGTTTAACGCAACCTTTAACATTTTACATAAGTGAAAGCAGCTAAACTTACAGAGCCCCTGAGGGGACGTGGTGTATTTTTTTTTTAGGTGAAAGGGACGAGACAGCTATAAAAACCTTAATAATTTACCTATTTGTACCTTTCAAAGAGATATAGCTAAATATAGGCTGCCTTTGCTATATAGAGTTAACTATAAGTTATATAAAAAGTCCCAGCTGCTGAATGAGGTGGTGAAACTGTCTGTGCTCCTTTCACTTTTCCAAAATGGAAAGTAACCCAGCCAATGGAATCGTTTATCTGTTTTGCAAGGAGCAAAAGTTCCCTTTTTCACTTAAACTTGAAGACATTTTGCCCACTGGCTCATTTTTGTCGTGGGTGTGTATAGTTTTAATGCAAAAACATGCATTGCGTAGAGAACAATGCAAGCCTTATAGCTAGCTAGGTTAGCTAGCTAACTGTATATAGCAAAGGCAGCCTACATTTAGCTATATCTCTTTGAAAGGGACAAATTGGTATATTATTAAGGTTTTTATAGCTGTCTGAACAAGCTTACGTTATTATCTTTAAGTGACTTTATTTGTTCTTGTGCCACCCGTCGTGACTCTAAAAAGTCATAAATGTCTTCTTCCATGACGGAATGATGAAGGATAACAAGCAGAGCCGGTGTACAGAGTAGTGGTCTGTGAAGTCATGATACTATGGAGCCCAATGAACACTGACACAGTTTATGAATATGCAGATGCACACACACACACACACACACACACACTTTTTTTCTCACCATAGTATCTGGTGCTCACCAGATAGTATCTGGTGCTCAGCACATAGTATCTGGTGCTCACCTGATTGTATCAGGTGCTCACCACATAGTATCTGGTGCTCACCTGATAGTATCTGGTGCTCACCTGATAGTATCTGGTGCTCACTTGATAGTACTGGGTGCTCACCTGATAGTATCTGGTGCACACCAGATATTTACCTTAAGAAAAAAATACACTATGTTCCTTTTACCTTAAAAAAAAAAACACACCATGTCCCTTCAGGGGCTCCGTATAAACTTGCTTAAATGTGAAGAAATACCTAACAAATGTGATTCTATTAGATCTATGTGCTTTTGAACACACCAAAGAAAAAGCATAATATGTACTCTCCTGACCTCCGTGATTTCTTGTTCCGTGTAGTGGGCAAATATATGAACAAGTACCCAAATGGAGTGAAGTCATATTTACTAGTTAACCATCTGGTATAGACAACCTTTCTAATGAGCACCCGAATGCAGCATTACTCACACTTGTAGAAACCATCAAAGAGGAACTCCATTGTTTTGTTTTTTTTTGAGATGTAAACAAACTCATTCAGAGTGGTTTGATGGGAAATGCTCAGTTCTAGAAATGTACAGAGTCAGTTCACTGTGGTGGTGATAGGAACCAAACTTCTTAAGATTTTAATGCCTCTAAAAATAAATTACTCACAGAAAGTTATTACTCATAATAGTTATGAACACTGGGGTCAGTGCAGGAGAGGAACCAGAGAATGGCATTTTTCTGTTTGTGGAAAAGCTCTTTACCGAGAAAAGCAGAAAAGGCCTCTTCCTCACAGCAAAAATACGTCACCAACACCCATACAACACCAACTGACAGTGAACACTGAAACCACACTAATTAACCCACAACAAAACACCATAAAACACAACTGACACTTAAACCCATTTCATCTAATAAACCAAGAACAAGCACTGTTTTGCATGCCCCACTCCTTGACCTCCCCATGGCAGACGCCACACAGCCACCCCTTCAAGGGTCAGCCATCTCAGCGACCCACACAGTTCAAGCAAAGTCTCTGAGGCGCGTGGGGGCACGTCATTCGTGGCACAGTCTCTCTGCAACCTGAGCTCAAGCTCCTTGGCTCCAGGTGCTCCCAGGTCTCTCTTTTATGAGGCTTCTCCTGGCTTGGAATGGTCTCCCATTCCTGGGGTTTGTGCAAGGCAAGCCAGTCCCTATGGACTACGTCATCCATACGCTCTTTCACCACACATGGAACCTCTCACAGTGACTAAAGCTTGAGACAGCGTCCTTCTTGTGATGCAGGTTGTACTGAAACACCCATTTCCCCAGCGCAAGCAGTTGTCCCTAGCACTGCGAGTCCAGTCCAGTTTTGGTGTTTGTTTCCTTTCCATTTCTCAGTGAGGGCTTCTTGACACCCACGCGTTATTTTAGACCCATAGCGCTGAGTTGGAAGGATGGATGTGGATGTTTTCAGATCTGAAGAAGCTCGATTTTCTCCTCTCTCTCAAAGATGAAAGCTTTCAGTGCTGTTTATCTGATGGGGACAGTGTTGGTGTCTACCAGGTCTTTCAGATGGTCATAAGGAGTCCCATTTTCTCTGTAGCTTTTGGAAACTCCAGTTTTTTCACTTATTTTTCTTTGAATTTCTCCTTTTGCAAGTGGATTATCTTCTATTTAATCTCCTCAGAAATATCTCAATTAGCCACTTTAGGTACACAATAAAAAGAAATTGGATGGATCAGTTAGTTTGGTACTTGCTTGTGTGAATGTTAGTGTCTGTTTGAAGGGGAACAGAATGTCAGTGAGGTCGCAGCTGTAATAGGTTGGTTTTAAGACAGGAAGGACCGAAGAGTTAAAGTGGCAGCAGGTGCACAAAAAACTGCCATAAATTTGATATTATGCTTAGTGTTGGAGGCTTCTGTGTAATTTTCTGTTTTAATATGTTTCCTGCTTTTTCCTGATGCTGAGAAATGAATAGCTTGTATTTTTTGGCCATTTTTACTGGCAGTCAAAAAAGCAAAAGGTCTTTTAAAACTGTCTTTACAAGCACACATTTCACAAAACAGAACTCAAATTTGTGGGTTGTGCATTGCATGAAAATGTTATTGCTGGTAGCTTGGTGAATAAATAACCCCTGAAGGCATTTACCCTCTGTAAGAAGTGTTGTGCTTGAAAACCACAAGCAGCACCACCTTTAAATATAGAGATGAGCTTTGGCCTCCTTATTAGATCAACAACACACTATTGAAATGCGAATTTCCTGTTAAGAACATAGAAAACAAATAATCAGTACAAGAGCAAAACCTCTTGACAGAGTTGACGCAGCTGGAACGCTAACCTATATGTCATGTTAAGAAGCAGTTTATTGTATTACAGTATTTCACAGTTCATGGACTTCAAAGTAGGATGTACAGTGACATCAATAAGAAATGGATAACCATTGGCAGTGGTGTAACTAGTATTTTATGGACCCCAGTGCAAAAACAATAAATGCCTCCCAATTTCGGTTGATAAAAAAATAAATTTAAATTGAAAGTGTATTTGCTACTGTTATGTCTCAAGAGCTGATGCCACTCCAACCACTACCATCTAATGTTAAATGTTTTTGTTATACTACCTATAAACGTAATTCCAAAGTTGAGACAGTAGGTAAAATGCAAATTAAAATAGAAAGCAGAGAATTATGAAAATACTTTGACCTACATTTGAACAAAAACAGCACAAGACAAGATATTTAATGTTTTATTTTATCAACTTGATTTTGTTAATATATTCTTCCTGAAAATGATGTCTGCAACATATTCCAAAATTTTAAGACTAGAACACTGTTCAAAATGTTCAAAAAATATCTTAAACATGTAATGTAATCTTTGGTTTACAAAGAGCACACAGGAAAGGCCTTTAGTGCTTTAAGAGCAAAGATGGGTCAAGACTCACCACTCTGACAAAAAAAAACGTGTCAGCAAAAAATCAGTTTAGGAATTAAAAATCAAAAATAGTTTAAGAATGTCACCTTTTACACCATAAAATATGATCAAAACTTTCACGGAAATCTCTGTGGAAAAGGAAAAGGCCGAAAACCACAACTGAATGCCCATTATCTTTGACCCCTCAGATAGCACTGCACTGAAAGCTGCTTCTATGACAGATATCGCCACATGAGCTCAGGAATACTGCAAAACCGTTGTCAACAAACATGTTCATTGCTGCACCCACAAATGCAAGTTAAGTCTCTATGCACAACAGACATCATATGTCAGCAACATCCAGAAACGCTGCCGACTTCTCTGGGCTTGAGCTCATCTGAAATGCTCTGATGCACAGTGGAAACATGTATTGTGCCTTTCTATAGCATTGTCGAGTCTAGAGGCCACCTTTTTCATCTTTTCATTAAATTTGGAATGAGCATAGATTCACCAAAACAATGAAGTTTAGAAGGTAAAACATTATGTATGTTTTTGTACCATTTTCAATTTAATACAGGTCAAACAATAAAGAACCTTAAAAAAATACAGAGCGAGCACATTTCAGACTTTTAAAGTCTGAGTAAAGTAAATTCAGAGATATTTTATACTTTTATACTAAACTTTATACATGTTAGAAAAAAATAGCTGAAAATGTGTAAAGATTGTGAACTATGTGGTACTGATTGTAGAGTTAATCGTTAAACTGTTGTGTATTTTTGTACCTAAAGCAGCTTGTTATTTGAACTTTTCTGTTCCATCTTAAATGGTGCAGCAGTTACGTTCTGGAGAATACAAAGCTTAAATCAGCTTGTTATTCACATTTGTCTGTCCCATAACAGTTACATTCTGGCAATCACAAAGCTGAAAAGAGGCTGCTCCTTTCGAGTGATTGAGTGTGGTTTCAGCAACTTCAGTGGACACACCCCCAGCTTTTCACAACAGAGAATACTTTTTTAATCATACAGATTTGGCACGTGGTTAATCACACATTTTCTATGGTGTGACAAACTGAGAGCACATTTATTTCTGCTTTACATGGACTTTAACCGACTTGGCCTTTTGCTTTAAGTGACCTAATACCTAAATTATGTTGGCATTTGGTTGAACATTCTATTTTGTCACTACAGTAACAGTTAAAACACTACCGAAACTTTACCAAATGTTTCAGTAGTGACAATTTTTGCTAATTTTGTGTAATAATTAAAATACAGTATCACAGACATAATCTAGAACTGCAAAAAGTGGAGAGTCAGAGGGTCTTATATTGTATTCTTTGTGTATGTCTGTGTGGGTGTCCTTCAGCAACTGAATGTGTCGCATGCAACGTCTATTGTTGAGTTATTGAGTTATTTTGTATAACCGTTGAGGTTGCACAGAAATTATGTTGCAGGCAACTCACAACATGCAACTAGTTGCATGGCAGTTTCACCATTTCACACAACAAAATGCTATCCCTATATATGTCACATCAAACTGACGGTAGACTCTTTGTGTGGAGAAAGCCTGGAGATGAATTCCAACCAAAGCCTGCGAAGAAACTGCTCAAACGATAACAATCAGCCATCTTGTGAGAGAATACTTCACCAAAAAGACATGAAATAATCTCCACTTGGTTTGACATTTTGTTCCCTAACATGGCAGACTTTTTCCCGATATTATCCCACTATCCCGATACTTTTTTAAGGCCCCTCTGTTCATCATGGCAATTTCTTCATAACTTCATTTCATTTCTTCATGGTCCAGAAATTGCACCAAAATGATTGGGACAGTGATTCTAACAGCGATTATGAAATGAAATGGTCATAAAGCAGAAGTGAATGCCAATAGTGGCTGTTTTTAACTCTTCGAGGAAAGAGGAAGCTCCGCCCACTCTATTCTTGGTATAATAGAAGTTAAATGACTTCAGTGTAACAAAAAGTTTCTATTTGCCAGCGAGACCAAGGCATCTGCAGCAGTGAAAGGTAAGAGATAAATACATTCAAACTACTACTACAAATAATAATAATAATAATAATAACAATAATAATAACAGGACTGGTAGTAAGTACATGTAATTGCTTTACATAATCAGGATACAAAATGGTAATTGTATTCCCTGCTGAAAAAAGACTATTAGAACCATTAGGATTAAAACCAGATGTTTTCGCTTTCTCAAATGAAAAGGCTTAATGGTTACAAATAGAGACCAGTAGTTTCCAGTAGGACACCTGTTAAACCATTAGAATCCTTTACACTGTGATATTAACCCATCAGGAAAACACAAAATGCCATTAGTAACTATTGGACACCACCAGGGTTGTTTTACAGGTACAGAAAAATACAGTATTCACATTATAGAAATATACTAGCTTGCATTAAAACCACTCAGTATTGTATCGTTATTGTTGTGGCTGTGTTTGTCTCTACGAGCTACATCTGCTAAATGAAGCTTTTGTTCTGAGGTTTTTTCTTTCGTGAGAGGCTTGGCTCACCATATCATGCGAGGGAAGGGAAACAGTGCGCGGTGACTGTGCTGAGGGGAAGCAGCATGTAGTGCAGGCGGTAAACTCACATGAAAGGACTTAACTTTATAACTCATAGATCCAAGTTAAGCTAACTTGCTGCTTTTTTATGAGGTAAATTTCACTTTTCTCTGTAACTTTCTCTGCTATTCACTGTAAGTGATGTATGTGTGTATTATACGTTGTAAATTAAATTTTAAAAAAAAACACAAGGCACAGAAAATTGACCAAACTGAGAAAGGTAGTTAGCACTACATGCTATGACAGGCTAAAGCCTTCATGTAGCAAGAACAGTTTCCAAGTGTGCTAATATCCCACAATGTGACAACAACAGTCTATAGCCTATTTCTGACACCAGTGCATCATCACCCTTTACTTATTCCAAAACACATTGTAGGGATACAAAACAATAACAAGACTGTGTACACCTCATAGAGAATGCAGAATTCACAGAACACATCAACAGGTCACTTCACTAATCAACAGCACCCTTCATTATAAAGTGTGTGTCTGCCCACCATGGGCACAACTTCTGCCTAATGAAGATGACAGCTGAGATGTACAAAGATGAGGAAAAAACAACACAGCAAACTTAAAAACCTAAACCTAATTATCCTAGACTGTAGCACACTGCTATGGCAGGCAGTAAGCTTTAGCCTAGACATTCTCTTTGACATTCTGACACAGTCTATTGTAGCTTTTGTAGTTAAAGAGCATTGGAAGTACCTAATTCACTGCTCACTGATGACAACAACGTTATTAAAATTTGTTTTTGGCTTTTGATGGGAAGAAAATGACATACTTTATTCTATCAGGCATGGATCTCACTTTTTCTTGTTCTTTTTTTTATGCAGCTAGAGCTGAGCGGTGATTGGAAGGCTGAGAAAATAAGCTGGACCGCAGCAGAGAGCATAATGATTTGAATTCCCATAATACAATGACAGCACTCTTAGAAAACAAATCAAATGTCATTATCTTAAAAGCTTTTGTGCTGATGTTTGTAATCAAACTGTCAAAAAATCTGAACCTGCATGAGTCAGAAGATTTTATTTATAGCCTATAGCAATTACTTTTGTTAAAATTTTATTCCAACCTTTTAATTTTTGTTTTCACTCTCAAGTACAGGCATAGAACCATCAAGCAGTACAATTACACAGCAACGTTTCCTGTGAAAATTGGTTAACCTTTTTTACATCAGTGTTACGATAATGAGATAATAGTGGGGTTAGCTCAGTATTATGTTATAGATTTTAATAATGATAACTGGGCTTTTTCAGGCAAGCCCAGTTCAGATGTTTTTTGAAGAACTGCACCTTTTCGAGAGGTTTATGCTCATAATGTTCCTGTTCTTACCATAGTTTCAGCTTCACTCAGCTGTACTGAGAGCTGCAAACTGTGCATTGTCCCAAAAGCACCTCAGAGATATTTAATGGGACATAATATGATAATAAGTAAGCACATATTTCTCAATTAGCTAAAAAAGTATCAACCCAACCAGATATTTCGGCCATTATCTCAAAATACAGTGGTCACATAAAAAACAAAGTGAATAGTCACCAGAGACTGACTGAAGATAAGAGTTTCTGGGTGTCTGTCATTGTTTTGATTAGGAGTAGGCTAAAACAGGACTGATCCTGCACTGTTAGAAATGAAGGTTCTGTTAATGTTCCCTCAAAGGTACAACAGTGGTGTTAAGGTCCAATTGTGTACCTTAAATAAGTTTTTCCAGGTAAAAAGTACATATTTATACCTTTTCATAACCTAATGTTTTTAAACAGAACAATAAAATAAAAAGCCTGGAGACGAGACCGGGGGTGTAGAGTCAATACAACTTAGAAAATATAATTTCAATGGATTATGGTACAATTATGTTCCCTGACTAAAGGTACTGAGATGTACCCTTGAGGGTACCACCCCAGTGACAGGAAGAGTACTGCCCCAGTGACAGTTTAGTATCATTATTTCTGAGAGTGTGTTTCAGCAGTCTAGTGAATGTGTGCATGTGCATGGTACACAAATTACTGTTGAGAGGGCACAACATTACAATATTTCATATATTATATTCCAGATTGCGCATTTATAAAATGCCTGATTAACTCCACCAAAATATTTAATGATTTTTTCAAAATGACATGGAAATAACATTAAATAACATAACATTAAATAACATTAAAACCACCTTATTGTCCATTTTATCAGCTTCACTTACCATATAGGAGCACTTTGTGGTTCTACAATTACAGACTGTAGTCCATCTGTTTCTCTGCATACTCTGTTAGCCCCCTTTCACCATGTTCTTTAATGGTCAGGACCCTATGAAAACAATATAAATATTAAGACATATATATATATATATATATAGATGTATATAGCAACAGCCGCATGTTTCAAAAAGTTGGCACTGGGTCGTGTTTACTATGGTGTCGCATCATCTTTTCCTTTAACAACACTTTGTAAGCGTTTGGGAACTGAGGAGACTGACTGCTGTAGTTTTGAAATGTTAAATGTTTTCCCATTCTTGCTTAATATACGATTTCAGCTGCTTGACAGTTCATAGTCTTCTTTGTCATATTTTTTGTTTCACAATGCACCAAATGTTTTCAATGGGTCACAGTTCTGGACTGCAGGCAGGCCAGTTTAATACATGCATTTTGATTGGTTAGACCACAGGACACTTTTCCACTTCATCTCAGTCCATCTTAAATGAACTCAGACCCAGAGAAGGTGGCAGTGTTTCTTGATTCTGGTTATATATGGTTTCTTCTTTGCATGTTAAAGTTTTAACTTGCATTTTTGGATGCAGTGAGGAACTGTGGAACTTCACACTGGTTCATTTGGAAATATATAGGAGCCCATGAAGCGATTTCCACTATAGAATTGTATCTGTTTTAATGCAGTGCCACCTGAGGGCCCGAATATTACGGCCAACCAACGCTGGTTTTTGGCTTTGTTCCTTGCTCACAGAGATGTCTCCAGATGCGGTGAATATATATATGGTATATAATGACATTATGTACCACAGATGATGAAATCCCCAAGTTCTTTCTTTTTTATGTTAAATCATTTGCACATTTTTATTTACATTTTGCACATCGTCCCAAATTTTTTGGAAATGAGGTTGTATTTGTTCAGTGTTTTTATTTAATCACTATCTAACGCTAGCACTAACAATGCTAGACAGTGCATCATCTAATGCATCATGACAAGCTGGTATTCATCAGTTGTCACCAAGCTCAGTGACAATTATCTGTATGTGGCCTATACAGAAACAGAAGGGGACCCAGGACTGAGCTCTGTGGTACACCAGTACGGTCTTCTAGTTAAATGTGTCAGACCAATTTAGAAAAGGCCCAGAAAGACCAATCCAGTGTATAATACTGTATGAGAGTATGCAGGAGTATTTTTCACTAAGATCAGACAACTCAGATAACTGTAGCTACTTTTTGTCTGATTTTACTCTGACAGAACAAATTTGAAGTTACCACTGATTACCCAGATTTTTTTAGGTTGATATTTAACAGCTGCCATTTTAGGTGTATCTGGGAAAATGCATGTTTCTAAAAATGCAAAAAATTCAAGCAAAAACTTTGTTTAACTCATTAAAAAATGTTGCATTACCTCCCAAGGCGTATTATTCAGTAACTAAATGGACGACAATACTAGCTGGCTGAGTTATTTCTAAATTATAGGAGTGAAGGAAGCCCTATCTACGAATTAACATTTGAATACCGCAAATAATAATGTCAAATTCATTGGAAGTTCTTGTAACATATTTTAGTTCAATGTATTTTACCAGGGGTTCACAGTGTTCTTTGGGCACACAGGTATGTGATCCAGTAAGGATCGACAGTGTTGAAAAACAATGGGAAATACTGCACTTCAGGGCAGATAGAATAGCAATATAATAGGACAGGATCTGGCAGGCCAAGGCCAGGTTTTACAGATACAGTTGTATGCAAAAGTTTGCATACCCATGGTCAAATGTCATGCTAAAAGACACAAAAAAATAAAACATTAAAAATTTTAAATGTGCCGTAACATTTGCACAGGCCACATTTCATGTCCCAATATGTTAAATTCAGCAAATAAAAAGTTATATTGTGCATTAAACTGTGTAGAAGTGTGTTCTCTGTAGAGGATGTGTAACATTTTTTTTTAACATAGAAAGTCAACAAAATATGAAATTTGAGCAGAGTCACCCAAAAGGTAAAAGTCTAAATCATGATTCACTTTTCTCTTTTTTCTTTCCTTTTCTAGGCCTCGCCCAGTAATGGAGAGATCCAAACTCTTCTTAACTGGTAAAGTTTGCTTTCAATTATGACTTTACTTGCCTACATTAGGAAGGTGATTCATTGCATACTGTTACAAATATAAAGCAGAGGTTTCAGTATCTTATCCAGCAATAAAATGTCTCTTTCATTTGTAAACATCTTTAAAAGGACTCAGTCTTTTTAATAAATTCCTTTACAGTGTGTATTGTATGTCTGAAAAGTGGGGTTGGTTGGCACAGCTTTGCCTCTCTGCTGTATATCTCAGACCATTCATTATCAAAAAATGTGTCTGGGAATTAGTAAATTCATGTGTGCTAACCAGCCCCACTATGTGGTTGGCTGATGTGTTATGAGGATGGTTGGCACAATGTTATTCTTTTTGAAGAATAAAACACAAATAGAAATAATCTGAGCTTTTAATTTAGACCCAGCCACATATACAAATATTCACAAGATGTTTTTGAATCAATTAAACATTAGAAATGGTTTATTTATTTTATCATTGGTTTGTACTGAAAAACAGTAAGAAAAACAATGTTAAGAAAAACAACACTGGGTCACTTTCTCTTATCAATTTCATCACCTTTTGGTCATAAATGATCTTTTTTAATATTTAGAAGAGTAAACAATATATTACATTGTGAAATAACATATGTTTGATCTTATAAAATAAAAACTCAAATTTCATACATAAATAGTTTGGGTTCGAATTCAGGTTATTTTCATTTTGAGAAGGAATTACTTATCATAAAATGACACAAAGCTTACAGGTAAGAACAACTTGATGCAAATGCAGGTTTCCCCCCGGGAGTTTCTCACCTTTAACTGTAACTTAGAGTTCTTTACAAAAATGGATGAATGCTGGTCAAGAGGGCAATCATTATTATGTAAGAGCTCCCCCTACTGGACCAGAGTACAAAACACCTCATGGGGCCAGTATAGGGCTTTTAGCAGATTATGATGGGCAGAGTTTTGAGAATTGCCTCTATTTATAATAATTGTTGAAGAGGGGTCTAAAAAGAAGCACACACTGACCTTTTAACCTTATTACTGTCTGCTGTGCTCTATGCTTTTTCATAAAAATAAGTCAAATTACCTAGCAAGCAGTTTTTGATCTGATATGTATTGGTACAGTCATTGAATTCAGTGAATCATTCTACACATATGACTTGTTAGCGTGTGTTTTATTCTCCTTCATGCACCTTCATTTTCATGTTAAAATCACAAAAATTTCTCTTGGTGAACCAAGCCTCCCTCTGGGCATGCCAGGTTAAAGAAAATTGCTCCTCCTTTTTGTGAATAACCACTAATAATTTGTTTTCATTTGTTTTCTTTGTCGGTTATGACGTTAAATTATTCTTTTTCCATACACTCAACTAGAAATCAAGTTGTTTTTTTTAATGTTACTTTTAGCTAAAATAACTAAGCCCCAAAGCAAGATGAAAATATATGGAGGACATAGTTACGCTAGCTGAAATGTTATTTTTAATAAGTTCAACAAATGTTCTAGGATTGGTGGAAATGCTGCATCTATTAGTAGCATCAGTAGTGACCCCACAAAGTTAAACATGCTCTGTCATCTTCTTTCTTCTTCTCCACAGTTTCAGTGCTGAGCTGCCTGAGTCATGGCTGGGAGGTTCAGGTGCCACAATCAGTTAAAGCTGTTAAGGGCAGCTGTGTGATGATATCGTGCCGCACCAGCTCACACAGTCACGTGATATGGTACAAGTATAAAGGTTTAGGGTACCCTGTAGTGTATTCTAGAAACACTGCAGATATAATAGCTGAGTTTAGAGGAAGAACATCAGTGCCTGGAAGTCCCAGTCAGGGAGACTGCAGCTTAAAGATCAACAGTGTCCGCCAGGAAGATAATGGGATAAGCCTGTATCCATGGATCTATCCAGAGACATCTAGCAACCAATATAAATACATCCAAATAAATGTCGGTGAGTATACAAACAATGCAAACACTCAAAACTTGCAGCCAATAAAACGACTATTAAAGCTATCAAAATGTAACTTGATAAATCATGTGTCTGGTCAGATTAAGCATAATGCATCATATTTTTGATTGCATCACCATGCACCAGCAGGCTGGCACAAAAGTAACATTACTCAACAATATTATATTTCACCCCCCCCACCACCTCACCGAATATCAAGAGGAAACCCTCAGCTAGCTCAGAGACCCTCCTCAATACCATGTATTACCAAAAAAAATGATACGGAAGGAAAACGTGCTACGATTTCCCATCCATATTAAATGACTTCAATAAGTAATAATACAAGTAATTATGATTTTGGACTCTAAAAGTCTTCTGACCAATTAATATTAATATTTGTGCTTTGATTCCAGTGAACCCTGAGATTAGCATTTCCGTAGAGAGCCCATCAACGGATGGAAATTTATTCTCTGCCACCTGCACAGTCCGACATTCCTGTCCTTCGTTTCCTCAACCAGTGAAATGGGAGGGTTTGTCTGACATTTATAACAAGGTGATCAGCAACACACCCTCAGGAGGACTGTGGACTTCAGTGACACAAGCACAGTTCAGAGCAAACCGTCTAAACCACACGAGGACGCTTAGCTGCATATTCAACGGCAGATCTGCGGCTCATACGCTCAACATCTTATGTAAGTCTACACTTTATGTTGTTAAAAACCTGTGAACCTTAGAACTATGTATTGTTCTTTCAGCCAGTCATGGAACTCCTTTCTTGTTTTATAACAATATGAGTATTATAACTAATATAAAGTTTTATACTAAACGCCAGCAGTCACAAAAGAATTACTGAAAGGTTGTTTTTTTTTTTGTACATACTAGAAAGTTAATGTAAACAAAGCAAACAGACAACTAAGCATGTTTATGAGTATTTTGTAGGTCCGTCTCTAGTCACCAATTGGTTATTAGTGAAATAAAGCTTCATTTAGGGCTAGTTTCATTGGTGTAGATTAAGCCTAAGCCTAGACTAAAGGGAATTTCCAGTGTTGATGTACCATTGGCTCTGCAGTTTTGTTCAAGATTAGGCATATCCTCTATCTGCAAGTCTGCCAGTGACCATTCCTCCAGCAGACTTGTACATTTTTAAATAATATAATCAAATAAAAAAAAACTTAACTTCATGAAGTTCTCTGCGTGTGAAATTGAGCTGTTGTGATCAATGAGGGGTGAAAGACGTGGGGTGAGAAATTGTCTGAAAACAATTCACTTCTCTTCACCTGCCAATGAAAGAAGAAGAAACAAAATTGCGTAGCTCAACTGATGGAGCTCCAAAACATGAGGAATCTGCATTTTGTGGCTACTGTAAACAAGGGTTAACTGATGTCCAGAAAACTGGTCTGTAGTGTCGGCTTGCCCGGCTGATAAAGTGAATTTTACCAGTAGTGAAGCAGACTTTTCTTTCTTTCTTTAACCATTTCACCAAAAAAGACTACACTATCAAAGCTACTAACAAGTGATAACACTAATTTGTCATATACTGTATAGAAAAAAAAGTATTGGGACAAAGTTCTTAATCATTGAATTCAGGTGTTTCATTCGGTCACATTGCTAAAGATGTATTAAATCAAGCATAAGCCATGCAGTCTGCTTTTACAAACATTTGTGAAAGAATGGGTTATTCTAAAGAGCTCACTGAATTCAAGCGTGGTGCTGTAATAGGATGCCACCGTGCCAAGAAATTTGTTCCCTCCTAGATATTCCACGATCAACTGTGAGTGGTATTAATAAAAAGTGGAAGTGTTTAGGAACAACAGCAATTCAGCCTTGAAGTGTCAGACCACGTACAATTACAGAGCAGGGTTGTCGAGTGCTGAGGCACATAGTGCATAGAAGTCATCAACGCCCTGCTGATGCAATAACTGCAGAGTTTCAAATGTCCTCTGACATTGACATCAGCACAAAAACTGTGTGCAATGAGCTCAATGGCATGGGTTTCTATGACCGAGCAGCTGCATTTAAGCCTTTCATCACCAAGCACAATGCCAAGCGTTGGATGGGGTGGTGTAAAGTGGAGCAGTGGAAACGTATTCTGTGGTGTGATGAATCACAGTTCTCAGTCTGATGGACGAGTCTGGGTTTGGCGATTGCCAGGAGAACATTGTGCCAGCTGTAAAGTTTGGTGGAGTAGGGATAATGTTATGGGGTTGTTTTTCAGGGGTTGGCCTAGCCGCCTTAGTTCCAGTGAAGAGAAATCTAAACACTTCAGCAGACCAAGACATTTTGGACAACTGTATGCTTCCAACTTTGTGGGAACGGTTTGGGGAAGACCCTTTTCTGTTCCAGCATGACTGAGCCCCAGTCCACGAAGCAAGGTCCATAAAGGCATGGCTGGGTGAGTTTGGTGTGGAAGAACTTGACGGGCCTGCACAGAGCCCTGACCTCAACCCCATCATTTACCTTTGGGATGAACTAGAATGGAGATTGCCAGCCAGGCCCTCTCGTCCAACATCTGACCTCACAAATGCTGTTCTTGATGAATGGGCAAAAATTCCCACAGACACTCAACAGAGTGGAAGCTGTTAAAGCTGCAAAAGGGGGACCAACTCCATATTAATGCCTATGGATTTAGAATGCGACGTCATAAAAGCTCCTGTATGTGTCCCAATACATTGGTCCATATAGTGTATTTTGAACTATTGCTATTCACTAACTATTCAGGTGGATTTTTCTTATTTCCCAAAATAGTTCTGGAAGTTCTCAATGAGATTTATATCATCTTGGCCAAATCATCACCTGAATTTACTCCACTTCACTTAAATCATTAGATGAGCAGCATAGCATCTCACCTTTAAGAGAACAGAGGAGATAACCCTATTCAAAGACATTAAAAACAGTGTTAAATATCAGTGTGGCATAAGTGCAATGGAAGCAGAAGAGAGCTCATTTCAGTCAGTTCACTATTAATTCACGGGTTAAATTTGTTCAAAAGTTATTCATTGTTTACAAAAAATCCATTTGTTAATGTCTGTGTATTTTGTGTGCTATTGAACTCTGCTAAGTCTGGACTGTTTACAGTGAAATAGCTTGTAGGCCAACAGAAATGCAGCAATAAAATATACAACTTGTATTCACTGTATCTCCACAGACGCCCCCACAGATGTGAAAATAGATGGCGCAGATAGAAGTGTGGTTGAAGGTGCTACGGTCTCACTCACATGTACTAGTAAGAGCAACCCTGCACCAACTCACTACGAGTGGCTTGTCACCCAAAAGATTTCCATCAGGAACCAGACAGAACAGAAAATTTTTAACCTTGGATCTGTCAAACGAGACACGTCAGTCTCCTGCATTGCCCGTAACTCCGCTGGAAGAGGTCAATCAGAGCCAGTACTGCTGATTGTCCATTGTGAGTATTTCCTTATTTATTTTGATAATATTGTATGAGAAGTCCCTAACAAAAATCTCAGACTGAACCTGTGAACACCTTGGCCGCCTTGGTTGGTGTGTATAATTCATTTTCAGCTTCATCGCAATTGGGTGCCCCCTCTGGTATAGTATCGACTACAGATGCACACCTCACCACTAAATCCTGCCAATAAAGCAGCGATAACGTCTCTTTAAAAAAGCATCACATTCAGTGGTGTACTGTGAAGGATTTTAGTGAAGCAGCATTACAAAGTCAGGAGAAAAAAACAGCCAAAGAAAACGGTGTGAGTCACCCTGTAAAGCTTGAAATAATCATTTAAAAGTCAGAGGCATCAGGTCAGGAGTTTTTCAAAACACATCATATGTATTAATGTCACATAAACAGGCTGAAAAAGAAGGTCCAGCTTGATGTTTAGGTCTCAAATGCAAAAACAACATTTTACTGATGAAGATAGGATGACAATAGTAGATCATTTACTCACATCTTCAGAAGACACGTCCTTCACCAAGTTTTGAGTTCTCTTCAAATTCTCTTTCAACAAACTTACAATCATCAGATTCATCCCCTCGGGGAAGAACAACCCACAAAATGTTACAAAATGTTCGTCCTCATGATGTATGCGAAAACAATCAAACAATACATTGGCAGGAAGGGGTACTAATAACTTGCTTAAGTTTTTGTTATTGCAAAAAAGTTGGGACGCTGTGCAAAATGTAAATAAAAATAGAATGCAACGATATGCAAATCATGTAAATCATATTTTCAAAGGAAAATACTACAAACACAACATAGCAAACATTGAAACTGACAAATTTTATAGTTTTTGAAAAATATATGCCCATTTTGAATTTGATGCCAACAAAGTTGGGACAGGGGCATGTTTACCACTGTGTATCATCACCTTTTCTTTTAACAACACTCTATAACTCTATAACACTCTATAGTTTGGGAACTGAGGAGACAGTGCTGTAGTTTTGAAAGTTACATGTTTTCCTGTTCTTGTTTGATACAGGATTTCAGCTGCTCAACAATTCAGGGGCTCATTTATCGTATTTTTCATTTAATAATGTGCCAAATTTCATCAGTGGGTGACAGGTCTGGACTGCAGGCAGCTCAGTTTAGCACCTGGACTCTTTTAATACAGAGCAATGCTGTTATAATACATGCAGAATGTGGTTTTACATTGTCTTGCTGAAACAATCAAGGCCTTCGCTAAAAAAGATGTCATCTGGATGGCAGCATATGTTGCCAAACCTGTATATATCATTCAGCATTAATGGTGCCTTCACAGATGTGCATGTCACCCATGCAATGCGCACTAATGCACCCCTGTACCATCATGAATACTGGCTTTTGAACTGTGCACTGATAACAAGCTGAGTGGTCTTTAGCCCAGAGAAGACAGTGTCCATGATTTCCAAAAAGGATTTCAAATGTTGTCTTTCACAGAGTAGTGAACTCCTCCTCATCTTTACTTCTGAAAGACTCAGCTTCCCTGTGATGCTCTTTCATACCCAATCATGTTACAGATCCTGCTGTCAATCAACCACCAGGTGGCACTACGCAACTTTACCAGCCTTTTGTTGTCCCCATCTCAACTTTTTTGGAATGTGTTGTTGGCATCAAATTCAAAATGGGTATATATTTTTCAAAAAACTATAAAATTTCTCATTTTCAATATTTGATTTGTCGTCTTTATACTATTTTTAATCAAATATAGGGTTTAAATGGTCTGCACATCATTGTATTTTCTTTTTATTTATAATTTGCACAGCATCCCAACTTTTTTGGAAATGGTGTTGTGTATATATGACTAGTGGACATCACTAGGAAACTTTTAATGGTTTCTATTATTTGTGATATTAAGAACACCAGTGTGTTTTCATTATATTCTAACCTTGGTTAATGTGTTAAGCAGTACAGCAGTCATGTCCTGTATTTACCTGTCTCTCAGTTCCCCCCACCATCCTGATGAATTCATCATGCTTTGTGTCGGCTGGAGGTGTCCGGTGTGTATGTCAAGTGGAAGCAGAACCCAAAGCTAAAATCTTCTGGATGGTTGATGGTAGCAGCGCTCCACTCCCACACTTCAATACAACGACTCAATACACAGGAAGAATAACAGTGTCGGAGCTGACAGGACCGCCGGCCAGTAACGTGTCCTGTAAGGCGTCTAACAATGTGGGGACAGACACTTACCAGATGCCAATCCAGAATTCACTGTCAGAAGGTAGTGCATTTCTAAATGGTGTATGAGTGAAAGAACACTAGACAGACCTGGCTGTGTTCTTAATGTTCTTGTTAAGTCAAAAAAATACATTTACACAGTTTTCCATCCACCACAATTGAGTCCGAAGTTCTCAGAGAGCAATCACTGAACGCTAAGTTTTAATCTAATGTTGACTTTTATTCATTTTTGCCTTTACTGGATAACAAGAGATCTTATTTTTCCTCAGGCGCTCTAAAAAATAAAAGCAGTTGTTGTCTCAATTGTTGTACAAGAAACTTAACACTAAAGAAGTTTCTCTTTCTCTCTGTTATTTGAAAAGCGGTCACATTTTTCAGCGCAGTAAATGGCTGTTAAATATTTAAATGAGTAATTCAAATAATGCTTTAAAGCAATTATCATTCAGTTTTAAGACAAGGTTGTCTATTACTCAAACATTACTCCATTATTTAAGATTTTGAAAATTATATTGGAAATTGAACTGTTTTCTTACCTCTTGCAGAGACAACAGTGGTAAGGTGGACCTAAGGTCTACAACATCACACACTTGCCTCATGCCACATCTTGTTGCTGAATAATCTGCAATAGATTTGTTTGTGTGGTTTCAGGCACTGTAAGACATACTTTTAACAATTAAAATGGACCAAAATACAGACGAAATTCACACTTCAGAATGGCTACTACTGTTATTAGCTTTGCTAATTGTAGAAACCACATAAGCAAGTCTAAAATTACTTACCAACTTGACACAATTTTTTCAAGAGTGTGATGATTTGGACATGCAGTTAGCACAACGGTGAACATGTCTTGCCATAATTACATGAGAAAAGTGGAAAATCTGTATACATTTATTTTATGGAACTCTTGCTTTAAGTATTTTTTCCATCATTTCCAGGAAACTCTGGATCGATGGTAGCTGCTGTAGTGGCTGTGGGGTGCATCATCCTAGGAATTGCTGTGGTAGCTATCTGCTTGAAGAAGAGGTACAGTTTACAGACATGTCTCCTAGGCCCAATCTCATTTCACCCCTTGCTAGCTAAATTTGAGGCACCAGAATGTAACTGCTGCACCATTCGGGGTGGAATGGGACAATTCAAACAAGAAGCTTCATATCTTCAGCTTCATATCACTGAAGAATTAGGGGTGGGCAATAAATTGCCCCACTTTTAAGGCATATGATTCCCAAAATGTAACTAAAGCCCATCAGTGAGGTTGCTGAACCCTCCTCTGCTGTCACTGCAGACTGGCAGGGTCGCCTACAGAGCAGCACTAGTACCCTGTTAATGAAGTAATGTCCTTCTTTATTTGGGAGTTGCCCCACTGTGTAGGGGAAGATTTCAACCACTGTCCTGTAACTCAGTTCCAAGGGGCAAGATGACACTCGAAAACAAGGGGTAGGGGTACAAATAAGAAATGGGATTGGACCTTAGTCTTTAGTCTCTATTGTTGACTAACAGGACTGCTTACTTCCTTGGCATCATTCACTCTATTATCATTATAATTATTACTGCCATCTTAACCAAATGGCAAATGGCACAATTTTCCACTTATTCCATAATATTTCCATTATATTTTAGCCAAGACATGTTTGGTATTCCAATTTTACTTCTTTACTTGAGCACTGGAGCTATGAGGCTAACGTTGTCAATAGTTACCCAAATCTTTTTCGTTTTGCAGTCACAAAAACTCTCACAGCTCACTCAAACAGCATCCAGGTCTTCATTAAAGTCATGCCGAATTGGTTTAGGACAGAAAATCACTTATTGTAAACCATGAAAATGAACAAAACGTCACCATGTAGATGGCAGTCATTTTAGACAACAGGTGTTGCGCTAAATTCTGACTCCTCTTAGTCGTACTGTGTCCTAAACCAAGTCTTTATGGCCTTAATGAAGAGCTGAATGTGGTTTGACTGGGTTGAAATAAGTTTTGGGGATGTATTTATGGAAAACGTTTTGGGTGACTATTGACTTCTAGTGTTAGTTAGCAATGTTAGCCTGATAGCTCCTTGTCTAAACTACAGAAGCACACTTTGGACACCAAACATCTTGTCCAGTTGAATATATCTGATGTAAATGGTAAATTGTGTTCATTTGATTCTTCGTTGAACCATTCTTTTAAAGCTGTGCTAAAACTAATCTAAAATCCAGCAGCTTCCTTCAATAAGCCAATGAGTGTCGTTCATAGAGGTTTAAAGTTCACACTGTCTGTTTTCTGTTTTGCCACAGACGCCAGCAACCAGCTGACTCCACCTACAGGTAACAGAAAGAAGCAACAGATTTTCATTTGCCTGTTCAGATAGATAAATGAGTTATGAAGTAGGAAATTATACACAGTTTAATTTTTTTTTTAAAAGTTCACTTCTCAAAGGAATTGGAAGTAAACATTGCTCCATGTCTGCATGATGAAGGAATTTTTCAGCTGTATTTTGTTGTTAGATGTGACTAATAACATTGACTTTGTGGGTTTAGATCACGTAGAGATTCCAGTGGAAAGAATATCGTCGTGAATCTTCATGACAATATCTATGCGAACAATGCAGCTGGAGAAGACATCTATACTAACACCATGGACACTCCACAGACAAACAAGGTACAAGATACTGCATCACAAGAATGATGCATCATCTTATTATTAACCCCTTCATGAGCTGAGTCAGCTGTGTTAGGCCAACACAAACACTGATGAATGTAGTGCTCCTTATATAGAGGCTTGGTCTAGCTCATGAGATCATGATAACAGCTGGCTAACAGAAGAAACAATGGGACAAGCAGCTGTTAAAGTAGCTGTTAGCATTAGCTGAATAGTTAGGGCGGCTGGTTTAAGAGTCTCACATTTATTGACATGGCAAACTGAAAAAAAATTACAAACCCTGCATTATAGCAGTGGGGTTGGGGGTGTGCTTTTCCATAAACCATCTTCTGCTTTATTTCCTCATCCACTGAGTGATTTGTTATCCGCATTTTTATTGGCTGTTTTATGAAGTTGAAATGCTTGCAACTGTTGAGCTTCGCATAAGTTGCAGGATGTTTTACATTATGCAACTCAAGTGCAATATAGTTTCATGCAGACTTCAAGCAACTAGAGGTGCATAAAGGTTTCCCTATAAAAACAGCCTTACATTACTGTGACAGTTAAAACACTCAGTACTCAAGTAAAGGGGCAAATCAGAGTGTCCGTAAATGGGATCTACTTATGTCGACCATCTGTATATAAAGAAGTGAAGGACTAAAGAAGTGATGATATATCAATTATAGGTTTAGTCCACAACAGAACTAGTTTTTGTTGAACTGCTGGTCTGCCATGACAGATAACCAGAATAAAAGCATGGTGGTGGCAGAGAACTTCCAGTGAGGTGAACTCACTTAGTTGTATATACGTAGATGCCATGGAGAAAAAAATCCTGACTGGACAATTTTCTGTTAGGCATTTCAAGAATTTAATCCATATAGTTGCAGTATCAGTCATGATGCTTTCTGTGTTTGTTAGGATGACGGGTACGACATCTACCAGAACTACTGAGACCTTCTGAGATCGAGAGATCTGCTCCTCAGCGCTGAACTTCAGTAGCCTTTAGCCTGCAATTTTCTGCCTTTACTGGTGAAGAATTCAAGACTTTGTGTTAAAGCTGAGCTTTCATTTAACTCAACAGACTGCAAATATAATGCACATAAGAAGAAAGACTTCTTTGCCACTATGTGTGGGCTGTGAAGGCCCGTAACTGTGTGGGTAACTTGTTCTAATTTTTAGAATGTTCTTTTATATATATATATATATATATACACACAAAATTATAGTTAAATTAAATAAAAAATAACATTTTCTTTGCTTTTTGGATATTTTAGGTTTTATTTTATATATTTTTCCCTATTATGTTAATTAAATAGAAATTGTGCTCTAAAATATGCAGTCAAATGCTATATTTAAGTTTGTTCCCATGTACATACAACTATTAATTTAATAACGTTCCCACAACTGCAGCAGACAAGTTATAAATTATGTGCTATGATTCCCTCATAGTTTATTCATTTTGTGAACATGAAGTATTAACTGAAAAAGCCGAATGTAAAGAAAAAGCAAAACAGTAGATAAAAAACAGTAGATTCCAAAATAAGCTCTGTAGTGCTCCAGTACATTTGTGTCCTTTAAAAGGTAATACATTCTTTTATTTCTTGTTATTAGGGGATCTATGGCTGCGTCTACACAGCAGGTAAAAGGTGGCCCAAATTCGATCTTTTTCCTCAAATGTGACACAGATGTGTGGCAGTGTGAACAGCAAAAAACGCACTGAATCTGACATTTTCAATTCCGATTTGAGACGGTATCCGACCCGCATCCGATCTGCGGCAATGCGACTCAGTCTGAACAGCCAGATCGGAATTCATGCGACTTTAACGTCTGTCCAACTCGACATTCGTCATAATTTCGCGCTGCTGAGACTCATAAACATTCAGTCTGATGTTTCTGTACCCAAAAAAATAGAAGAGACTCATCAAACCGCTCCGTGTTCGAAGAGGTTAGAATGAAACGGCCGGAGGAGACCGAGGCTGCAGCGTCAGAGAACAGTTTAAAGAATCCGAGGACGCGAACCAAAGAAGCGGCCGTGGCCGAATAACGCGCCCTTTTTACGGCGAACTCGAACACACTGTGGGTGATGAGTCCAGCTCAGCTGTCAACCACTGGAACTTTATACTCGCTCCTGCGATGCTGGCGAAGACGAAACTGAAAGCTCCGGGAGCGACAGGCGTTCACTGGCCGTCATGGCTGTTTACCTCTGGACGAGCTGCCATGTGAAGCACTGTTCTTTTGCGCATGCGGGTCGGTTTAGGAGCGAGTTCTGTTCAGACTTGATGTCGCATACAGGTCACATTTTAAAGATAATGTGAACAGCCAAACAAAAAAATCGGATTTGGTGAGAAAATCAGATTCGGGCCACTTTTACCTGCTGTGTAAACGTTGCCTATTATGCTTGTAATCTCTTGATGGCCGCTAAAATAATATTACTGGGTCATGGGAATGAAAAAAATGTTGCCTGCAGAAATCCATCATGTAAATACTTTATGTAAATTGCAATGATATTACATATTATATATATATATATATGTGCGCGTGCGTGTTTAGAAATATATATATGCCCATAAGTTGAAAAAATCTTTTTTAAATAATACATTTTCAAACATTTTTTCAAGATTTTAAATAAACTCTTTGTATGCATGTGTATATTTAAATCTATGTACGCACATATATATTTGTATTTAAGACATATTAAAGTATTGACCAAAACATGTTTATGTTTTTTGTCTTTTGCTGTCACTATGAAGACAATATTCATCATTATTCGAGCCACACATAAGACCTTTGGGTTTCAACTGAATTAAAAATAAATGGTGGTGAGTGGTGGCGAGTTGGATCAGATGGCAGGGGAGACCAAATAGTGAGGGTGTGCTGGGAATGACTAGCAGAGGCCTTTGTTCGGAAAGATTTTAACTCCCACCTCCCAACTCAGCATACTGGTTCCATCGGGCAAAAAGGGCTGAAGCAAAATCAAGAACATGGGAGGAGTTTAGAGAGGCCATGGAAAAAGACTTTCGGTTGGCTTTGAGGAGGTTCTGGACAACTGTCCGGCGACTCAGGAGCAGTCGGAATGGCTTCACTCAAGCTCTACTCAGCAAGGGTGAAAAAACTCGGAGGGCTGGTTGCATTCAAACCTGGTTGTGTTCAATTAGCTCAATCTAATGATCAATTAGCCTCTTTCTGCAGTCCCCCCTAGTGGCCGGTCCACTGGCAGAATGGACATCACCTTCACATTTTTAATTGATATAATAAAATACATTTTCCCACATTATCGTCAGATTACCTAGGACACTGTTGATTCTCAGAGTGTGAAATGTTGTGACTCTGTTTTGGGTGCAGTTAGGGGAGGGCAAGAACCCCCTACTGTGAAAACTAAGAGGGCAGTTGCTTTTTCATATATGGGATTTGCATGTCGGATAACATTTTACAGTACTGTGTTTAACATCAAGGTTTACTGCATGAAAATGGGAATTATAAGGTTCAATTTTATTTTGCAGCTTTACCTGAGGCATGACTGAAGACCTGCTCATGAGCCTGTTGTTTTATGAGCAGTACTTCTACGCTCAACTCCTGAGTCACTCCACTCTCTTGTGTAGTGTGACATGAGAGGTGCTCAAGCTGTCCAGCAACTCTGGATTGGGGGTCAAACACCTGGACTGTGGACAATAACAATGACAAATCATCCAGTAAATGTGAGGAATTATGTGCATTAAACATAAGAGAGAAGATGACGCTGATTGAAGCAGTGCAAATTTATTTAAGAATTTTGAAAACAAGATGTGTATAAATCTGATCATGTCTGTATCTGAAAATGCAGTGTCTTCCACAGTGAATGGATGTGACCTCTACATTTTGAAGGCATGAAAGAAATGAAATGGCAATATAACACAATGCCCTACACAAATATTAATACCCCTTGTAAACAAGAGCAAAACAAGCTGTAAAAAAATGGAATAATGAACCAAGCTGGGAGGGTTAAGGATACCACAGCATAAAAGACAATGCTAATGCTAATTATAACATTAATGTCAAGTACAACCAGAACGTCTAATGGAAAACATACAGAATAAAACCGAAATCAAGAAACAAGCTACAAGACAAGCACATCAGATGGTGCGAGGCTTTGCACTGAAAAGTCTGTGAAGGTGGGGTTTAAATAGAAGCCATTGATGAGAGGGACAAAAAGCCACAGGTGTCAATACCTAGGAGAGGCGGAGTGCTGGTTGTGCTCTGCCAGGGATGTTCTATGACAAAAACATTGTTGTATCCGATATTGCTTAATGAGACTGGAGAACACATGGCAAGGGATTTGAGACCTCTGCACAGAATCTCTCCAGATCCTTCAGATTCCAAGGTCCACTCTTGTGAACTCCCCCTTCAGCTCATCCAACAGGTTTTCTATGGGGTTTAGGTCAGGGGACTGAGATGGCCAAGTTGCAGTAAAATCTGGCAAACTGTAGGCACTTGAATTTGTTGGTCTTTGACAGCAGAGGCTTTCTTCTGGCAACCCTCACAAACAACTTGTGGTCATGTGGGTAGAATCAGACTTTAGTTTGGTAGATGTTCTAACCCAAAAACCCGACCAATGTCTGCAATTCCCTAGCTGTGATCCTTGGGGATTCTTTGGCCATTCGGTCAATATAGATGTACATCTTCTTCCTGGCAGATTCTTAACATCTCCAGTCACTTTAAACTTCTTAATTTTTACCATTTTCAACTGTTTAGCTATTTACTTGGAGCCGTTTTCTGATATGTGCAGCTCAATAACCTTTTGTTGCACATCACTGTTGTATGCTCTGGTCTTTCTTATAGTAATGGGAATCTGGCACTCCAGTGAAACAGGACATCTTGACTGACCATTTTAAGCATTCTTAAACACTTGGGTGAACTTTGAAACTGCCAGTGGCACTAAATTAGTCAGAATTATTACATTAACAAATGGTGGAAAGGTGTTACTAAAGTGTTACTGAGATATTACAGCTTCCCGCATTAAAACCTCCTCCTTATCAGACACAAAAACCTACCATGTCAAGGGTGAGTGGCTAAATCAAATTTACTCAGTGTGCATCTAAATTTTCCTTAAGTTTTAGTCTGTTAGTGCAAGAACTACAGATGCTACCAGGTAGCCTGAGCAGAAAGTTTGAAAGATGTATCAACAATAACTAATGGAGGCAGGACTGATCAGAATTTTGCAAACAGTTAACTACACAGCAGATAAGTAGTGGTAATATGCACATTGCTAAAACCATGTTACAAGCAAGGTAACACTCCTATTCTAATACTACAGTCTAATACTGTATTTCTCCTGTACAACACTATTACTATACCAACATCAGCTACTCAAACTGTACTGTACTACTGTGAAAGTAACTTAACCCCACATTTGACAAGGCTTTCTGGTTTGTGTGGGGTATTTTAGTGAAGTTAACAATTATGATGTCAATTCTACGCACAGGAACATCAGCTTGCACATAGAAATATGCATATTTGAACTCATTAATAACCTCGCAATTCAGAAGATCTAGCGACATTTGGACGAAAAAAGAGCATTAGCGGCTATTTTCAAGAATGCCATTCATTTATCCAATAGAGAAAAAGGCAACTCAAGGCTCAGTAAAAGGGCTTTCGTCTATATTACTATGTTTCCTGTGTCTTCTTTTTCTACGCCGACACCACAAAATACACAAAAAATAGCTTATTGCAAGCACATCGCCTCGTGTAAAGAAAAGCTTTGTCTTGTGTTTGACATGATGCTCATCAACTAATCATTCACCCCTTCACAAAACGAAAGGAAAACCACTAAACTATGCAGTCCATTGACTTGCTCATGTGGTTTCTGAAACTGTCCAAGAGTAGAATTTTTTTTTTTGCCAAACTGGCACTGCAGTGCTGGTAATTACCAGCGTAGAGGGACAAAGTGTTCTCTGCTTAGACTGAACTCAGAAACAGTAGCTTCCAATCTGGAATATATTGAAACTGTGGTTGCAGAAGTATTTATTTCACTTATTAGTAATTGCTGTTGTAGTTAATCACATCATACTCTAATGGTGAATTTCTGCTGATCTCTCTACGTATATGAAAACTGTGTGACTTTGCTAAAGACTACCCTGTTGCTAGGAAATGTGTTAGTGTGCTACAAAATAAAGGAGTTTAGCATCTCCTCCTTCCATTTGGACGTACAATGTATCTCTCGGTTTCATCCAGTGACCAGCTGGGTGATAACGCAACGATAGACCATTGTTTACTGTCTTTGGGATTGCAGGCCAGCACATACATTTTAAGAGTGAGTTGACCAGTTTGACCATTTATGGGTTTCCTTCTTTCTAATTTACTATGCCTATATGTTAGCCTTCTCCTGTTTATTCACATCATAATGGATTTGAACCTCTTTCTACTCTGTTAACCAATGAAAAAGGACCAACACCCTTTTTTGGGGACTATTTGAC